AAAAAAGAAGCTAAAGTGTTCAAAATTTAATGGTGAAAGTTCTTATTTGACATTTCACAAATGGAATGAGATCAGAATTGAAAAAAAAGAAGCAATAAGACCTCTTAAGGGACGAAGGGAACATGTACCTTGGATTTGTAGGTGTTGTAAGATTTCTTTAGTAACATTATTTTAATAGAAATTAGCCTCATACCCAGGGTCTCCCAATTCTCCAATACCGGGCAACACAGTTGCCCGGGAAAAGAAAATTGAGTTATAATCTTAGTATGACAAATCTATAGTAACATTATGATGTCATTGCATGCATTATTTTGAATTTTGATATAGTAATAGAAACAACAACAACAATAATATTTAATAATAATAATAATTGACCTAGTATTTGTTTGTTTCATTTATGAAGTTATTGCACACTGTGGCTTGTACTGACCCGGGGTGCATTGGGGGAATTTTGATCTCCACGAGGGACTTCAACACAATAAAGGCGTATACGTCGTCAATTCAGAACATCCTGAACGTTTACCCAGGAATGGAGAGGCTGGTCGAATGCAAAACAGTGAATGATGCATTTTCTAAAATTCTTGAAAACGACTGCTCACCTTTAAAGAGGGACGCACATTTGGTATGGGCTGCTTCGGCTTTCCTCTCGGTGGTAATGGTAGCTCTAGTGCTTATTTGGACAGTTGCAGTGGCCCAAGAACCGAGACATCGTGGGTCCCTCGATGGTTCTGTGAGACCACGCCGTACAGAGGAGGTTCAACCATTTGGAGTAAGTTCAATGGAAACTACCACCATTGAGTCTAACACAAATGTCGAGTTATTTCAGAATAAATCTCATATTACTCCTCCCAAGTAACTGTCCGTCCAATCATTTAGGACCCTAGCGATGAGTCCATTTTTTTCAGGAATAAAACTCATAGACGAAGTGTATAGTGAAGCAACATAATGGGCCTATTTGGTTAGGGGTCTAACCATTGATTGCAAAATTGTTTTGTAACACAACGATTGCATAAAAGATAAGCAGAATAAATGGAAGTGTACCTAACCAAGCAGAGTCTATCTTGTGTGTACAGCTATAGAAAAATTGTAATTGTAGGATTCATAGTAAATATTCTCTTCTTTTTTTTCATTTTGTTGTACCAAAGTGAGAATGTAGAGACATGTATACAACTAGTCCTTATAGGAATCCAAAGATATATATATGCAACAAACTATGGGGGACAAACCTTTGAATTGCAAAACATTTCATTTCATGAAATGTGTCAGTGCTATCTATATACTTCATTTGTTTTCCATTTGTGTCTGGTAGTTAAGCAGCAAGATACTGCAGAAAATCGTTAGAGGATATATTTGATAAACTATGAAATGAAATTATATGCTAGCTACTCCAACTGTGGCTACACTGGTTAGTGGTTAGGATCGCTCTACTCAGTGACTCTAATTTGATGAAGAATATGAAGAAATGGATGACAAAGTTAGAACTAGAGAAAGAAACGCAAAGCAAGATATATATCGTAACGCCTAGTGGGTAAACTCCACTGCAAAACTGCAAAAGGAATATACATTGATGATTCAGAATATGTACAGTTACAGAGAATACACACTATAATATAGTTACATGGAGAATATAAAAGGTTGAACTGCGTGAATGAGATATATTTGAGTGTACGCCAATTATATATGAAGAAACAAACACTAACCACATGATTGCATTGATGGTTATTAGATAAGACTTTCATTTTTTTTTACATCAAGCACATAGATAATCACAACACTATTGGTAAATACTACGGAGTACTATACTAGTAGAATGCATGAAATTAACAAAGCATCAGAGCAGTATACGTTGGGACATTAAATGAATATACCAGAGCTTCAATTATTTATGTTGGTGTCTACTGCCTTGGTTGGCTTGAGATGTAAGAAACAACGAGAGCTGTCAATGTTTCCCATTAAAATCTACGCTAATGTTTGTGGAACACAACTTCAAATACCTGCATTCATTACCAAACTCCAAATTGATATGGCATCTAGAGGTTGATGCAAACCCGTCCTATCACAAACGTTGAGCTCTGCACAAACTTGTTTCATCGTTGGTCTCAATTTCGGGTTAGAGTTCAAGCATGAGAGTGCAATTTTGGTTGTAATAGCAATGCTCTGTGCATCTTTCTTGCTTGATGGAGGTAAGATGCGTGGATCTAACAGATCTATCAGCACTTTGTCTTGATGAGACTTTGATGCAAGTAACAAAATAACTTCTTCAGGATGTTTTCCCATTATTGTTTCTAATGCAACTACTCCAAAGCTGTATACATCACATCGTTCGTTCACGATCATAGTGCATCCAAGCTCTACATCAGAATGAAAAGAAGCAGCAGGTGAAAATTTGAGATGCATGTCCCAGGTAATGAAAGAAAAACGACATTCAACTAGAAAAACCTTACCTGGGGCTATATAACCTTTTGTACCGGCAAGTACTGTTTGATTCAACGAATGAGGACTAAGGAGTCTAGCAGTGCCGAAATCTGAGAGGAAGCCTTCTAAATTGGAGTTTAACAAGATGTTGTTGCTCGAAATGTCTCGATGAACAATTGGAGGACTGCAATCATGGTGCATATAAGATAAAGCTTGTGCCACGCCATTGATGATGCTCACTCTTTTTCCCCAATCTAGCTCAACAGCTTCGACATCATTTCTGAGGACATAAAAAAGGCTTCCCTTGTCCATGTACTCGTAAATTAAGAACATCGATCTTCTATGCAAACAGAACCCATGAAGTTTTACAATGTTCCTATGGCGAATCTCTGTCAGCATTTTTGCTTCGTTTTTAAAACTTCTGTCAAATTCTGGTTCTTCAGCTTCATAATGATGGAGTTTCTTCACTGCGACGACCTTTCCACTTGGAAGTTTTGCTTTATAAACACTGCCATAACCACCGGTTCCTATACAATACTTGATGTCAAAGTCTTCAGTTGCTGTAATAATATTTTGGAAAGCAATTTTCCCATCGAAGTTCCATACTGCAGTCAAGTCTGCATTTGTTGATTCTTCTTTCTCCGATTCGGAGTTTGTTATCACGTCTTTCTTAATTCGAGATGATAAAAAGAAGACAAGAATAATGCATGCAAGACATCCTGTGCAGATTGCGATTATCACAACCTTCTTGGTTCTGCTTCGTCCATTTTCACTATGAGCACTCGCAGGTGGGGGCAGAAGTTGAGATGTCTTGCATGATTCATGCACTAAACCTTTGTTTCCACCAAATTTATAGTGACGATTTTGGTGTAGAGTACAAGGAAGTATACCACTGAAGGAGTTAAATGATAGATCAATTTCAGACACTTGCCATGTGAAGTTCGTTGGAAGCTTTCCAGAGAGATTATTATAGCTCAAGTCTACTAGATCTAACCTTCTTGAGAGCACTTCCATAGGGATAGTACCTTTCAATGTGTTTCTTGATAGGTTTAACTGTCTGAGCATAAGTAGATGTTCGAATGAAGGAATAGAACCACTGACCCAATTTGTTGAAAGATCCAATTCGAACAAACCCTTCAAATTTCCAAAACTCGTTGGAATCGAACCATTCAACGAATTGATACTTAGGTTCAATTTGGCTAGGCTTCTCATGAACCCGATTTCAGGTGGAATAAAACCGTACAATGCATTATTGGAAACATCAAACTCAAATAAACTTGTAAGGCTTCCAAGAGCATCTGGTAACTGACCTTCTAACCAATTTGTAGACAAGTCAAGAACCTGCAATTGCGTCAAGTTACCTAATTCTTTCGGTACAGGACCATCCAAAAGGTTCCAACCAAGACGAAGAGAACGGAGGTTCCTAAGTTTACCTAGGGACAAAGGGATCCTTCCAGTGAGATTGTTGCTTGACAAGTCCAATGTCATTAGATTCTCTAAACCTCCCAATTCTGATGGAATAGAGCCACTTATCCAATTCGTTGAGAGAATCGCTAAGGTCAACTTCTTCATATTCCCAAGTGGGGTAGGCAATGGACCGGAGATATTGTTAACATGAAGCTCCAATTTGGACAAGTCCTTCAAGTATCCAATTTCTGACGGAATGCTTCCATTGATCCAATTGTTCCCAAGACGAAAAACTTTCAAATTGACCAATTTCCCAATCGTCGAAGGAATCGGACCAGCAAAGTTATTGTAACTAAGATCGATCACTTCCAACTCTTTTAACTTCCCTACCCACGGATGAATTAATCCCTCAAGTTGATTAACCTGTAAATCTAAAGTAACAAGCTTCTTCAAATGGGTGATTTGCGAAGGAATGGTTGCATTGATCATGTTGAAACCAAGATCAAGCACTTCCAAATTCTCTAATTCTCCTATAGACTTAGGAATCGAGCCAGTCAGGTAATTGTCCCGCAATTCCAATCTAACTAGACTCTTCAAATTTCCAAGACTAGACGGAATCAAACCCTGCAACGAATTCGAACCAACCTTCAATTTCACTAAACTTCCCAGACTCCCTATTTCAGGTGGAACTGGTCCATAAAACGAATTACTGGAAACATCGAGCTCTAACAAACTCGTGAGGTTCCTAACAAGACTAGACAAGAGATCTCTTAATCTATTCGAAGACAAGTCAAGTACAGCGAGATTTCTAAGGCTTCCAATCTCGATCGGAATCGTACCTGCAAGTTCCTGCCCGGTGAGATTGAGGACGGCCAAGTTCGGTAAGGACGAAAAGCTTAGCCGGCGAAACTTGTCGCCGATTGCAGCGCAGTGCGAGTGCCAATCCGGAGGTAACGCAATTTGCGTGACACTCCCGTTCCGATCGCAAGCTATGCCAGGCCATGTGCAGTGGTCGCTTGTGTTGAAGTTGACTTGGCTGCAATTCAACCACCAATTACTGTCGCGAAGAGCCGCCGCTTCTTGCTCGGGCGAGCTCTTGCCGGAGAAGAAGATAGCTGTACATGAGAGTAGTAAAAGTAGAGCAGTTTTGTTAATCGAAGTTGTATTCCTAGAAATGGCCATAAGTTATTTGAATGCTTTTTTTGGAACCCAAAAACTTAGATATGTACTCCTTGCATGAATAGAGTGTGTATTGGAATAAGTCATCGGTACAAAAGGTGGAATCGCCCACCCCCCTTGCCCGACAGGAATGGTGGAGGATGTAAATCATGGTGACTCAGTCGGCCAAGAACGCTAGACCCGTGCCCACCGCGCACAAGGAGCCTCCTCACCCTTTATGGGATTTTTGGATAGCTCCCACACTGCCGCTTGCGGGACTCGATCCCTGGTCATCGGTCCAAGATTTCACCGCTCTTGACCTACCCATGCGGGCGTGTATTGGAATAAGTCAAATACTATAGGTCGGGGTTTAGCTCAACGCATACAAAGTCAAACACATAAAAAGTTTTTTTTTAATCTTAGGTCACATTAAAATCATTTTAAGAACAAAATTTAAAAAAAATCAAAGAATAAAGTTTGATTTAATCTTGGTGAAGTCAAACTTGGAATTTAGTTAGAGAATAAAGACGGTAATAATTTGTTTGGTGGTTTTGCATAATTCGTCATACATACTTACATAGTGTAAGAGATACGTCTATTGTCCGTGCAGACTGCAGATAATGGGAAAAAAATCTAAACTGTCAATAAGTCAAAGAAGTGAAACATACATATACGCGTAGTTCGAGATTAATGTTTTACTCTGTAATAAGTTTAGATTAATTTTAAAAATATTAAGATAATATTACAATCATAAAAGTTTCCAAAATGTTAGTCTCTTCGCCCCAATTTAAACTGCATACTTATTATTCAGTCAAATTTCATTTACCTTCTTTCCTGATTTACATTAATCATTTGATAAAATAATATAATCTATCATCACTACTTTCATAGATCTTTTGATGTATTTTTAAATATATGATTTTTATTTTTAAATTCTACCCGGAGTACATCTTTTTTCCATATAAAATGATTTGAAAATAATTTCAATCAAACATCATAAACTGAAACAGACAATTTAAATTAGAAGGGAGAAAGTAAATTTAAGTGTTCTATTGTTTGCATAATTTGGGTGTAGTAGTCCACTAGTCCGTAGTCAATTGGGATTGAATACCGATTGCATAATTGCATTTGATGGAGTACAAATTGTCATGTCAAATACTTGTCCGTCCCTAAGTGTTTGTACACTTTTAACTTTTGGAACTGTTCATCTAAGCACTTTAACTCATCAAATTCTATCAATGTTTAAGCCTAAAAATAGTCATGTGTGATCTTGTTTGATTCGTCTTAACATATAGATTATTAATATATAATTTTTTAATATAGAAATTACAAGATAAAATGGATTAAAGAAGTGCATTGAATGATGTGCAAAAATGAAAGTGGACAAACACTCAGGAACGGAGGGAAAAATTGTTTTTGTCAACGTCTACTCTTTTGCCAATATGGGCCCCATTTGGCATCAGCGTTAGAGATTAGCGTCAGCGTTTTGAAAAGACTATCCGACGGTAGCTTTTAGCGTTAGCATTTTCAGAATTAATCTACACCATTAAAATTTTATCTAAAACGTTAACGCTAATCGAAAACACGATTTCCAAACAAGGCCATGATTTCTTTCGTTTCAACTTTTAGTGCCGGGTTTGTTGACCACACACGTTTTGTGTTTCCATTTGCACTTAAAATGGACCCAAAGACTTTCTAGTTATGTACTCGTATATATGAGCAATGCTAGGGGTGTAACCCATGTGTCCCCTGCCCCTTCTTTACCACTCATTTTTATCTAATTTTTATTCATTTAATTTTTTTTAAAGTTCTTGCCCATTTATGTAGTTATGAAGGGGGTGGAGGACAAATGGGGTACACCTTTGGTATACCCCTAGCATTTTTCATGTATATATATACTAGACTAGATTGTTGGGTGTACAAATGGGTACACCAAATGGTGATTGTTGGGTGTACAAATGGGTACACCAAATGGTGATTGTTGGGTGTACAGATGGGTACATGTACCCCTAGCATTCCTCTTTTGTCACAAAAATGATAGGGGTACACCAATTTTTGTACCCCATTTGTACCCCCTCCATCTCCACCACACAAAAGCAAGAAAAGAAAAAAAATTAAAAATATAAAAGGAAATATATGGCTATGATTGTTGGGTGTACAAATGGGGTACACCAAATGGTGTACCCCTAGCATTCCTCATTTCAATTGTTAATATCTTTTAAGGGCAAGTTAAAGCTCAATGTATGAATGTAAACCCCGCCTTCAGACCTCGTTTTTTCGGTTTGGATGAAGGTCTGGTATATATACATAGCTCATCAGCATAAACTCGGTCTTAGTCTAGATAAATATATTCGACCCGGCCAATTCACATCATCATATAGAACTCATTTCCCCGAATAGATCAGTCCTTCACCTCCTAAATGTCTCCCTGACACCACCCTACACAAATGATAAGATGAACACAGGTGAAATGGCAATCACAGAATTGTGCTGGTCATTAGTATGCACACAATGTTGCCTAAACACGCACAGTTATCACATTGAAACTGGAAGTTTAAATTGAGATTCGTATTTTAGTCGTTTCCACGAATAAACATGGACACAAATTGTTCTTACCTGAGGCTGTTTGGGGCTGTCTTGAAGGTCAGCTTCAAGTCTAGAGAGTCTGCCATTCAGTGAGCTAATTTTCGATTTCAACTGCAACAACAAGAACAAAGGAACGGAATGAAGAATTTGAAGAAAAACCCAATCGAAGAATCATTGAAATCAGAAAAATAAGGCAAATTACCTCAGTATGGAACAAATAACGTTCAAGAAGAAGATCCTTATAGACATGCTCAACCACCCACGTACTGACGGATGAGTAGCCCAGCGCAAACCAACCCACATTAAGCAATATCCCTCTCTTATCTTTTATCATCCTCTCCGCTTGCCCTGGGTTTTCTGTTTAGGGTATAAAGTATTATAAACAGATGCTAAACCTTTACCTTCTATATGACATATAAAATCAGCCAAAGATTTTCCGGCCCAATATCATGTCCAAATACCCACCATATATCAATTACCAATGGTGCCTGATTAATCAGTGGTCTTTGTTGAGCATTGGTTCAAAAAATCACCATTTAACCACCATCAATCACAGTCGCGTTTCACTTGCATATTTTGAACAATTTGTTTGAAAACATTATAGAACGTGGAAATGTGAAAATGAGATTTTTTAAAAAAAAATCTTTTCTTTTCCTTCCAGATTCCATGAACCAGCTAAGTTAAGTTTGAGTTTAGATTGAGATTCTTCTGAAAATATTTACCCGGATTTACTACTACTAATTACAGTAGATTACAAGCCAGAAGAATAAATCGAAGAAATCGAACCTGGAGAAATAGGAGATAGGAAATCCAAAAGATGGATTCCGGTCGATGGCGGTGGCGTCGTCCTTCTCGACTCCGTCTAGCTCTCTTTCCCGCCGACGGATGTTCTCCAAATCCCGCGATTAGGTTTAGGGCGCAAGCATTTGGGAATTGGGAAATTGCCCTGGTACGAGTACTATTTTTTTAAAAAAATGTCACTATTTGGCAATTCATTTCAACTTTTGGGCTCCAAGGGGCTTGCTATATTATAACACACTTGGTAAATTTTAACTTTGGCTTGTCATATATAACAAGCCTCTCAAAATATAGCAAATCATGATATTGATTAAATATTTGATTTCTTTCTTATTTTCTCTCATTCTCCTTCTCAAAATATTTAGTTACTTCAACTCTCTAATTTTTTTACTTTTTGTAAAGTTCTTTTCTCTACTCGTTAATTGGTATTTATTAAATATTTAAAAAATGCTCTTTATATTTTATTATTTTCCCTAAAGTAAAATATTACTCCGTTTTGTTTTTTGAAATTATTATTTTTAAATTACATAATTATTACTTAATTTTTATAATATAAATAACAATTGAATAATTATTATAACGAAAGTATTATAATAATTGTTAGCTAAAATATAGCAAGAGAAGGTTGGAGATGACAATATAAAATGGCTTGCTATACCACTATTCACATGTTAAAAAATAACTTTAGCAAGTCATGTTTAGCAAGTGTGGTTGGAGATGCTCTTATGGGGACACAATTTGTAGGAATTTTAACATTAAGAACATTGCGGGGCAGTGTTGATGAAAAACTCGATAGTATAACGAATCGCATATGAACGTTTTTAGATCAAAGTTATATCGGTGTATATGAAATACTTCAATCGGATAAGACGTTAATCAACAACAAGCACTCGAAATCCAACGTTCATTACATACGTTCGCGCAGAGATGAAGAAAGGCGCGAGAAGATCCTGCAGTTTTTGGAGTAAATTTCAACGTTATCCACTCGTTTGAGTCCTATACCGTTTTGGACGTACTCCGATTGTAAAAACTTAAGGATTTTCATACAGAAACAATGCCCGAAATAATTGACCCCGGCTAGGGGCCCGCCAGGGGCTGCCGCCCTCGGACCCCCGCTGTGAATTTATAATATCGTTGAACGAGCGCGCACTCTGCGCCTCCTAACTCGTTTGACAACGTCTTTTTGAATTCTTGTTTGATCTAAGTAAATCCAATCACACAAAATAAACTGATGACACTAAAATCAACAACACAATTATGGTAAAGCGAATTGATCATTAAATTAAAGAGTCATGGTAATACAAGTTCGGGTAAATCAAACCACTCCCCTATGTCAGCTTCAGAATGAGTAGCATGAGAAAGTATATGTGCTGCCTCATTAGCGGAACAATACACAAAATCAAATCTAAGGGCCCGTTTGGTATACGGAATAGACGAAATTGGAATTGAATTGGAATTGAAATTCCATTGGATTCAATTCCATAGAATTGAATTCTATCAATTCCTATTCATTTTTTGCACTATCAATTCCAAATCCACGTAATTTTTGTGCTACCAAACATCCGAATTGAAATTGAAGTCCTCAATTCCAATTCCATAATTTGAATTCGGTGTACCAAACGGAGCCTAAGATCTCTGTTACCAAGTGTCTGGAGACGCTTACAATCGTCAATAATAGAATTAAAATAGGACTCCTTTCCTATTTGGAAGCAAGAGAGAATCCGCGCATCTTTGCAGTCACTTTTGATAATCACGTTTGTCTATTTCTTATCTTTGATCCAACTAATTAAATTTTGACTCCAAAGTCAAAATCGACTTGTGGGGTGCAATTGAAGGGGGTGGGGGCGTGTGTTCGGGGAGGGATGGGGTGGGGGGTTTGCCGGGGGGTTAGAGAGGGTAGGAACCGTCAATTTTACGAACGGGGCACTGGAGCGCCCCGGGACATCCCATGACATTGGTTTCCAATGTCATGGGAACCAAGGTGTTGTATAAAATGGTTTGACTCTTTCATAAAAATATGTAAAGAAATTAAAATATGAACACAAAGGTAGTTAAAACCATAACATTCAATTTGTAATAGAAACTTAATATCAAGAAAGAAATATTATCCAGAATAATTTCAACTTTACCTGGTCTTTTAAAAATAATCTCACCTTTTAACATGAGGCATAATAATATAATCCTAATTTTACTAAAATTTGTGATTTTTGAGCCGCCATTAAGTCACGAACGGTAGGTTAACAAAAACAAAAGATCTGTTTTGTACAACAAAATGAAAGTTGAGATATGAACTTTTGTTTTTTCTTTTTCTTTTTTTTTGAAAATTTTCATTTTAATTTTAAAATGACTTTCTATCTCCATTTCTTTTTTCTTTTTTAAATATCAGTCTTACCTTAAAAAATAAAAAAAATAGATATAAAAATAATGAAAATGAAAAAAATAACTAAAACCATACAAAATTAATGAACTAAATAAAATAATCAATAGGAATTAAACTGAAACAAGTAAGAAATAAAATAAAAAGTTAAGCAATGGAGGGTTCAAATATTTTACGCATTATACGAAGTATTAGTGTACTATTTCTTATGATTTGAGTTATTTTTATCATTTTCGTTATTTTTTATCTATTTTTTATTTTAATCCAAAATTAGACTAATCTTTAAAAAAAGAGAAATAAACATTGGAGGCATAAAGTCATTTTAAAAATTAAATAAAAAAATAAAAAATGAAAGTTCATAAAAAATAATTTTAACTTTCATTTTGTTGCGCAAAACAAAACATTTATGTTAACCTGCCATTAGTAACTTAACAGTGAAAGTGTGATTATTTTTGAAAGATCGGGTAAAGTTGGATTATTGTAAATAATTTTTCCTTTCCAGAAAGAAAAAGTTCGACATCAAATATTTCACACATAAAAATAGTTAATGTCTATACATATCTGCGAAACATTTGGTATTAGACTATTGGTGTCAAACAAGGTGAATTTGTTAGGATTTTTATTCTTTCTATTATTTTGAGTTCATAGATGGTCGAGTTAGTGGAAGCTTGTAGTTTGAAAACCTTGATGGTGAGAACTAAGAACCGAGGACTTTAAACAAACACTATTTTCAAAGTTTTAGTGCATACTTGTGGTTCTTGCATTATTCCTCCTGCTAGGTATAATGCTTAGTTTTTTTTGGACAACCAAAAACGAAAATGTAAAGTTTATTTTAGGACGAGGTATAATCTATCCACAACTTGAGTTTTAAATTCAAACTGAGATAAGACGGCAAATGTCCGCAACGCATTGGTGGTATAGGCCAATGTCAAAATCATCAATTGTAGAAGTACTTAACATAGAAGGCCAACAACCAATACATACCTTTTTGGCATAAGGTGAAGCTTAGAAAGACAGACAATCAATCTGTTTTGATTCCTAGTTGCAAAGAGACAGAAGTCGCGACGAACAATGGACGACTAGTGCAAGGCAGGAATCAAGCTTTATTGGAAAGAAATATTGCTTGAGATTTTATTACCAAAACAGATAATTTCCTTGAAGAGATCCAGTCCTTCACCTCTTAATTAGCTCCATCCTACAAAAGCAGTAAGATGAACAGGTCAAATGGAAATCCCAGGATTGTGCGGGTCAATATGCACACAATTAGGCAAAACAAAAGTGTCGGAACTGCACACAGATAGGGAGTATTTGATAAACTCTAAAATGACATTCTGTGCTGTTACAATTAAAATGCAGAAACTCACATTAGTTACTTGACCATTATGTTGCAATTTTTTTCGAAAATTTGGATTGTTTGCTTTTTATGAAGTGTAAGATTGTAAGAATAATAAAAAATGTATACGCCTTCCACACATTTTTCTTTTAAGTTGGGTTAATGCTCACTCGTTAACTTATTATTGATCACACATGATTGATTTCAAAAAAGAAAAGCAAAAAGTACACGAAAATTATGTTTGGGACGAGGTAGGTTATGGTGATGCCAATAATAAGCTATATTGCACAAATCCTTGAAGTCTTGTTTTCCATACTCGAAACTTCCCCGTTTGGGTAGTTAGTGTTGTTTCCCATACCCAAAATCCCATGTTTGGGTAATTGGCGGCGTCTCAAATCAATTGTGAAATTTGAACATGTTTTGCATCGCTGCTCTCTTGTCATTTGAGTACATATCATCATCAACACCATTGTGGAACATATCCCTCGTTTGGGAACACGATTTTCAATTTGCGTTAGTGTTCTAGATTACTCTGTATTTTTTTTAATTTGTACATAACCTTTTCAAAATGCTAAGACTAAACGTTGAATTCGTTGACAAACATACACATACTCGAGTATATGATAAGTAGGAAACTAATCCCGACACCACAAAAATAGATTATGAACAGCTAAGTCCTGACAAAGGGGTATCATAAGGCTCAAATGTGATCACCTGCAACCTAACCTCTATCCAGTAGAAGTGCAATATCTTTCGGAACACATATTATATTCATAATTTCATATCATATCATGCTGTAATAACTAATAACACTGGAATTGGAATTTTAACTTAAGATTCATATTTTAATCTTTTCCAGGAAAAAAAAGGCATCCACACACACAGAGATCTTACTTGGGGATGTTGGGGGCTGTCTTGAAGCGCGGTTTCGAGACTTGAGACTCTTCCTTCTAAGGATCCAAATTTTGCTTTCAACTGTCACCCAAAACAATTGAATGAACAATTAAAATAAAACAGAAAATGAGGGAGGGATCGAGAAATCATTGAGATCGGAAAAGTATGGCAAATTACCTCTGAAGAGAGAGAGTGGCGATCAATGAGCAGATCCTTATGCACGAATTGAGCCACCACCGTCGCGGCGGAGGTGAAGCCCAGCGTGAACCACAACGCCCTCGTTCTCATCATTTCTCTTCTCCGCTTGCTATGGCAGTTGTGTTTCTCCCTCTTTTATCCCCGGCCCGCAATGCACGAAAAGTTTAGTTGGCTAGAAATTGAGTAGTTTTTTTTTACTCCCTCCTCCCTTCTATAATTGATCTTTCCAGAGCACTATTCCAACTTCACGAGAATTATATTTATTTATGTTTTTTCATGGCCTATATGATAAAATAAAATATTCTTGTCACTACTTGTTTTGTTGAACTTTTGGTGTAGTTTTTAAATATGTATGTTTTATTTTTTATTTCTATACCAATATTTAAATAAAATAGATTGAAAAAACTTGGAATTTTTCTTCGTTTTGCGAACCGGAAAGATCATTATAGGACGGATGGAGTATTTCTTTTGGAGTATTTATCTTTCCAAATACTTAGGACTCGTTTAGTGGTTTCAGAGATATGATAAGATATGAGTTATGGAGTATGAAATTTTGAAGAAATGATATGAGTTTTGAAGTCTAAAATTATTTGTTTGGAGATGTTCAAAGTCATAATTTAATTAGTAATAAGCGGGGATGGTCGACAATGAGGGTGGTTGGCGATGACAATGATAGCCCTTAACGCAGAATAATTGACGTTTGAAAGATGTATCAAACCTTGATATTCATATCTCCCAAATTTAGAATATATCAAAATTGCTCATTTGAATAATTTATGATATTTTGAGATATTGAAATCGATATCTCTTTTGGCTTCACCAAACAACTAAAAAGAATTCTCGATTTCTCATATCTTGAGATATCAAAATCCACATCTTGTTTGCTCACCAAACACAATTGTTTATTTGTTTTTGACCAAACTCTTATGTGTTTCTTATGACATTTGCAATGGGGAGCGCCGCGCTACCGGAGGGGGGAGCGTCTGGCGGCTCGACATAACCGAACTCGGGCAATGACCACGAGCATAGTGCGATAGATAACGGGATTTAACTCGTACCGATATCATACTATATATTTTGTTTGGTATGATATTTTTATTATTTTACATGGTACCAATCCAAATCTTAAAATATCGGTTATGAATAGTTTGAAATGGTTCAATATTAATTTCGGTACAAATCGAGGTGGATACATACATATGGAGTATGTTTCTACTTTACATTTAAAAGCTTAAGTACCTATCCCATTTGTTTTTTAAATTGAAAGTGCATTTGAAAAAAAAAAGCATTTGAATAAAAAATATAAAAAACAAAATATGAGTAGTTAAAATAATAAAATACATGAAATGTTTATAAATTGTAGTTATATTTCACAAATAAAAGAGAATCGATAACAAGGTACTATTTTAAATCCTTCTTAATATTTTTAAATTTATCTAAACAACATTAGTGATAGACCAAAACCCCAGGTGTGTACTTTTTGATCTATATGATACGGAGTATATGTGTAAAATATTGAAAATTTATGAATAAGAGTGTAGGCAATAAACTCTGACATGGAAACCAAATCGGTGAAAATCACATGCCTTTTTGGCAATACCATGCCAACAAGGGTATTTTATTATATCTCGGGGGTATATTTATACAGCGCTTCGGCTAATAGCCATTGATGGAGCTCGAAGTTCCATCGAGAATGATAATAGAGACAGAGAGAATATGGTATGTGTGCAATGTTGAAGGTGGCTCCCCATTCTTCTTGGATATGGACCTCTTATATAACATCAAAACAGGAACCCAGGGTTATGGTTCCCTTATGGGCTTCTCACGTGGACCGGTCCAGTATCTTTAATTAGGCCCAAGAAATATTATATCATCAATTAGATATCAAACAAAGATAATACCTATTTTTTAGATATCTCATCAATTCGTAACAATATGTATATTTTTTATGTTTTTTTTCCAAAATATGAAAACAAGTGTACATGATAAGGATAATATAATACATCAGATTTAATTAAAAAAATACTTTGGTCTAGTTACCATCATCTTATACTGTTTTCTTTTATGCACACAATTAAAGGACCTTGTGAAACTTGTCATAGTAGTTACCTTTTACTTTTTTTAGTCTATTCATTATTGGAAGTTGATCACCTTATTGCAAAAACTATTAAACTAAGAGTAAAATATGGAGAAAGAATTAAAATAGGTATTTCATGTTTTTTATCTTAAAATAGAAGTGAATTATCAATAATGTCAATATATAATATAAATAAATATAGTAAGATGTCATTATACATTACCATAATGTCTCACTGCAAACTCATATTTTAGTCTATAAAAATATGAACTCCTACTTTGATGAAAAATATTGTGTTTACTCTCTCGACTTGTATTAAACATCATCGGTTGAGTGCATAAGACTTTAATACACATGTTAAATATTAGAGTGAGATTGTATATTCTTTTTTTATATATTAGAGAAATAAGAAATGCACCAATTTTCTTGTAACACACTAAAAAGAAAAAGAAAGAATAAAAAAGGATTAAGCTATTTCTACCCCAAGATTTGTACCCTAACTTATACACTACAGGTGCACATCTTCATTTTGCGCCTGTGTAATGCTACTGTGATAGTTCACACGGACACAAAATGTTAGGCTCCGTTTGGTACATGGAATTCAAACTATGGAATTGGAATTGAGGACTTTAATTCCAATTATTTTGTTTGGTAGCACAAAAATTATGTAGATTTGGAATTGATAGTGCAAAAAATGATTTGAAATTGACAGGATTCAATTCCATGGAATTGAATCTCATGGAATTACAATTCCAATTCAATTCCAATTCCACCAATTCCATATACCAAACGGACCCTTAGTGCAAATTTTTGTTAACGCACCAACATTTTGTGTCAGTGTCAACTATCAAAATGTTAGCACATACTTTTGGTGTAACTTTGGGATATATATTTTTGTGTATGTGTAGCATGGTTGTAATAAATTTAACAAGAATTTCTATGAATGGTAATTGCTACAAATTACTTTCGTATATTTTAGTTCTCTTTAGGTAAATTACCCTTCTAGTAATCCCAACTCCCGCCAAAATGAAATCTACGCCTTCAATTTCATTCCTAAAGTTTTATTGACTTAAGGTAAAAAAAATTGATCCAAAATCAACAAAAATATGGAGATGATAAAAAGGATGAATCTCATCCCTGAGCGTCCCTCACACTCGGCCTTGATGACAAAGAGTAGAGCATGCACCTGTTACTTACAGAGGCCCTATGATTAACATAGTTGTCTCTTAGTACAATTGTACGGAATCGAACTCGGATCCTATTCCCTTTGCATTCCTTTTCTTGTCAACTGAGCAACGCTCACCTGTACAAAATTTTGGAGATGAAAGTGAAGAGGTTGGGGGTGGGTTCCCATTGAGGTGGGGTCTATCTACGGATTAGGGGTTGGAAGGCTTATAATTGAAACTGTTGTCTGTTGGACCGACGGACTTACTCCGTAAAATATTTGGAGAAGCCAAAAACATCTCAAATTTAGAAGCTCACAATCTGAACAACTTCAATTCGTTTAGCGATTAAACTTCTCACCCAGGTACTCTCTCTCTAAATTTTTCTTGAAATTCAACCGATACTCTCTCTTTTCTGCAACTTTGTGAACTTCTGGTGAAATTTCATGTCTTTGACACTGGAGCATAGATGTTTTTGAGATATTTCTGGCCTCACCCAATGTTTTAAGCTGCACCTTACTTGTTAAAAGTGGCAATCTTTAAATCACACACAATATTTAAGCTAGGACTTCCTATTTGTAAATAATATTGTCTCTGTTTAAAAAAAAACAATTCTTCTTTACTTTTCTAACCTTCTGATAACTTTATTTGCGTGTGGTTTTTCATTGTCATTTGTTAGAATAAAATATTCTTGTTACACTTGTTTTGTAGAACTTTTGATATACTTTTTAAATACGGAGTATGTAAGTTTTATTTTTCATTTCGATATCAACTTATAAAAAAAATCATTTTAAAGAAGATTGGATTTTGCACATTAAAACGAAAGAGGAATTGTATTTTTTGAAATGGAGTAGAATTTTGTAATGAAATATTGTATGCTTTCTTACTCTTTCTTTTCTTTGCAGTTTTCTTTGTAGTGTGTTGCAGGAAATTTGTTACATTTCATTATTTCTCTTATAAAATAAAGAATGTATAATCCTTAACGTAGTAAACAATTTTTTGTTTTTTTCTAAATAAATTCCAACCACCCAATTTTATTATTTAACATGTTTATTAAACTCTATGAGCTCAAACTATGCTGATTAATACAGGCCGAGGGAGTATTCTATAAAACTAGTTTGTGAAAAAAAGTATATTTGGTTAAATGTAAGTTTAAGATGTATTTTTGACATATCAAATTGTTATAAAATTAGTTGTTAGGGTAGCTGTTCAGCGGATTCTAACTTGAGATTTCTTATTTCTGTAAAGATTATTAAGGTTTTGGTGTTCCAAGTCATTACTTGATGATTGTGTATGCCTCTAATTGATTAGGAGAGGATTGTTGGTTGTACCCACTCAATTTCTTGGTGATTATTGAAGGTGTTAGTTACTGTGCTTAGGGTCCTCTGGTTTTTTTTCTTGATTTGGGGTTTTCACGTAAATCTACGTCGTCGTTTATCGTTTGATTGCTTATTAGTTTGTCGAGTTTACTATTCTTGATCGGTTGTATGATTATTAATTGCTTCCACTAGACTTTGAGGTGAGTTTCCCAACAATGAGAACTAGACACAGTTTCAAGGTTGAATGAATTAACATTGAGGGTATAACCGGTAAAATCAATAAGCTAGTATCTACCTTCAAATTTGAAGGTTGTAGTGTTGGAGCAGAATGGCAGAAACATCTGAAGTGTTGCAGAAGCATATGACAGATAATCAGAGGAATTATTTGGTCTCTTTGAAAGAGCCACTGTCACCTGGGAGGCCTCCAGTTGAACTCCAGCAATGCATAGAAGAGCTTCTGAGGCACACAATTTCTTTATCAGTCTCCGGAAATCTTGAAACAGACATTGGCTTGTCCAAGGAGTTGTGCACCAATCTGTTGGACGATGACCCTTCCAATCCCACAGGTTAAATATGCTCTTTCATTCATCCCTGCAAATGTCTCTTTATTACTATCAACATGTTTGTACACCATGCCTTATAATGTTGTACTATGTTCCCATTTTACAGTTCCTTTGTACAAACGTCTAGCGACATCAATAAGCCGGTTTATATCATCTGGAAGTATATTACAGTCAGATAGTAGAGTTGCATTAAAGCAAGAAGCATCTTCTTTGAAACAGAAGGAAGATGAGTTCAATTATAAGTTGGTGTGGGAAAAAGGACGAGAGTTACTCTACGTAAGCATGACAATACGATTTTTTCTTCTTCTTAAAATATCATTGTCTGATTTCATTAGTTTAAATCTTGAAATTGTACCATCTTTTTCTTTGTTTTGATACAGATGCTTGAAAGGGTGGACTTTGAACTTCATGTTCAGGAGCCTTTCTTCTCCTATCTAAAAAGTAATACAGAGTATTAAATATCTGCATGTTCATTCCTATATTTTTCTTACTCCCTTGTATTTTCAAGTTTTTCGTATATTGGGTTTTTGCTGCACCATTCTTTGTCTCACTGTTGGGCAAAAAAAATTGAAAGGTGGAGAGAAAACAATTGAAGGAAGGTGTGCTATCGGTCACTACAATAAGTAAGATCATATCTTATCACTTGAGTGAAGTGAAAATAACATGTCTGCATAGTGTTCACATATCAACATATTGCTTGCTGCCTCTGGTTGTCTAAAGATGATTTGTGTTGGTGTTAAGAATTGAAGTGGGAGCTTCAATCCTTATCAACAAATGTTTACTTCTTCAGGTTAAGGTAAAAATGCCAAATTTACTTTTTAAATATCTGGTTACAGATATTTGGCATATCCAATAATGATAATCTGCACTGAGGTAAATTGCAGGATGTTCATCATTATGATTCGTTTGGTGAAATGCTAGAAGCAGAGCCTCTCTCCAAAGTACTTCCAGGAGTTGAATCTATAGAAGAAGGTAACATGATTTTAGGACAGCCCAAAATCGAACAAATATAGTTTCGAGGGAGAGTTATAGTTCATGGCAAACATTTTAGGATTCAATATCTTCGAGACATGAAATTTTCAGGAGTTGAAGTTTATAGAAATTTCTACACGGAGGAGAAGGAAAGGTCAAACGGTGTTCTTGCCATCTGTGTGACCAAACCAGTTTGGCAGCCTTATCTCTCCATGGCCACAATAATATCAGTAAGTATGCCATACCCATACTATTGTTGCTCATTGACTTTTGTGGTACTAAGCTAACCTGTTTTGCCATTGCTTAACCAACATTTAGTTAATTCCATATTCTCACTAGCATCTGGTTGAATACTGCAATATATTCTTACCATTACTTTGTCAAATTCATTCAGGATTTGAGCTATGAAGGGCTCCAGAACCTCCTTCAAAATGTTGCACATAGTTCAGAACAATGCTGGTCCACTTAAACCAAGCCTCGATCCAAATCGGCTAGTCTTGTTTGTTGGCTGCATTGGGTAGACCCTTCGTAGACCAAGGCATATAATTTCATATGCTGGACCCATCAGTCATGTTCCTTGGTCTCAGATCATCAGTGGAAAGATATGAAGTTTTTATGAAACAGTGGGAGTAATTAGAGCAAACAATCCAACCCTTGACAAAAAGTTGGCATTTCAGGTGTCAAACCTGCCCTTCATTGTGAGCTCTTGAGAAAAGATAAATTGTAAATCTTCCGATTAACTTTTTTTCCGTTTTTCAATTAAGCGACCATGTTTCTTTCGGGGGTAGTACAACTGTACAAGTAGTACTGTCGTAATTTCTTTTGCGTGTTTTAATAAAAGTAAGGCAATTAAGGTTATATTCTCCCCAACTAATTTTTTCTTATTACATATTCTTATAAAAATTATATAAGATTAGACTAAATCCAATCAGAAATAGCTTTAAATATAATTACATTCACAAAAGATCAGAATTTATTCCAATTAATTCAGAATCAATCAGATCACGTAAACATTGCCTTTTGCCTTGTTTGATTTTCAATTAACTTCTTTAGAACGAATACTTAGTTGCTTTAGAATGAACATTGTTTTGTTTGAAAATGAATCTTACGTTATTCGTAAATGAATACTGTAATTGATATGAATAAATTGTGAGAATGAATGCTAAGTTGTTATGTACATAATTTGGAGGGTTTGTTATATCTCGGGAATACTTAGTATTCATTCTCACCATTTTGGAGGGTTTGATATATTCATTCTCACAATTTCGAGATATAACAAATCCTCCAAATTACTCCAAAATGAACATTTGTGCTTTGTGCGAAAATGAGTATTAACTCTACTCCAAAATAAGTACCACCTGATTGTACCATAGTTTAGGGGTGCAAACATATATTAATCGGATCGGATGTGCCATTACCAAATCTGTATCCGTTTATTTTTGTCGAATATCGAATTCGGATACGGATCTTGACGGATACTGAAAACCAAAACTGCATCTGCATCCGTCGGATATCGGATATATCCGTATCCGTTTCTGCTTTTAAAATCAAATTAGAAAATACTTTAATTTTAAATTATATTAAAGTCAAACTATTATTAAATCAACTATAATTTGTTATGAGATAATTATTTTCTTTGTTTTCATGATTTATGATATTCTACGATAACTTCATATGATAAAAAAATATACACAGCACACATATACACATATTTTTATATGTCTGCACATATTTTTATGTGTCTACACATTTATTTTGTATATAAAAGTTTTTGATACTCTGAAATATCAATAGAGAAACAAAATATAAACATAAAAAATAGGAAAAACTATATATAACGGATTGGATATTTGGATAAACGGTTATCTAAACGGATGCATATTCGGATCGGACTTTAAACGGATCGGATATACAAATACCAAATCCGTATCCGTTTAGTAATCGGATATCCTTAATCGGATACGGATAATATTCGTTTAAAACGGATGCGGATATTTTCTCTTTAAACGAATACGGATACGGACGGTAATCGGATTTTCTAAATGCCTCGTTAAAAGATTAGAATCTTTTATGTACAATTTTTTTATCCATATCCAAAAACCAAAAGGAATTTTATAAATTTACAATAGAATTTTGTATGTCCATATATTTATGTAAATAATTTGGATGGTTCGTTATATCTCGAGATATTATATCTAAATTCTTTTTATGTTTTATGAAATATTAATAAAATCTGATATAAGAAGATATCACTTATATCTATTCAGCCTTATTTTAGTTTACGATTTTGACTAAAATTATTTTTTATTTAATTTGTAAGACAATTATGGTTGAATTAAAAAATAAAATGTATATATTTAAAAACTATGAAGTATATCAAAAGATCTACAAAATATGTAATGACATTACTTTATTATCTTATCAAATACGGAATAACTCAGAAGAATAGATAAAGAAAATAAAATTAAATTTGATTATGTCTAGTGGATGCGAGTCCTTTAATGTGCCATAAGAGCCTCTAAATGGGCCGAAAGTTATATGCAACATGGATCGCTGGGGTTAATATAGTCAGGAAAAAAGGTCGAGACCTAGGGTTTAAGCGCCGCTCGATATTACCAGAAGGGCTATAAGCTTATCATTCGAGCTTCTCTTGAGTTCTGACGCAGTAGGCGGCGGTTCGAAGGAGCAAGAGAAGATGGTAAGCTTCAAACTTCATTATTCTTCAATGTTCTTGCTTTTGTGTTTCGATTTATATCCTCAAAAGGTGATGCTATCTATGCTTTTCTTAATTTGATGCATAAAATAGTGATTTTATGATTTACTGGATGTCTGTGTGATTAAATCGAAGAGAAATTTAGCTGGAAATGGCGGAGATTGAGATAAAACGAGGAGGGGGAAGAAATCTTGTAGGAGGAAAGGAATGCATAAAAAACATCTTAAATGAAGGCGATTTAGGCGAGCTGAAATTTAATTATGCATAGATTACTGATGCAATGATTAACCATTTCGTCATGGAAATGTCTATTCTTTCGACGAACAAATGAACAATGATACATGCTTGTTAGATCTGACTACATTGTATTTGTGGGAGTTAGTTTATCTCATCCTTAACTGTGAGTTTGGCAAACACAAATCCTATAGACATTCACTTTTGGAAAAAAATGTGATGTATTTATCTGCCAATACTTGGTTTTCTGAATTGCATATTGTATAATGCACTCCTTTGTCATCCATAAGAGTTATGTCTGGGATTTTAATTGTGTCTTATCTTTTTAACATTTGTGTTCCAATTTATTCATAAGTGGTCAACTGTGCAATGATAAAGCACTTTTGGGACTCTCCTAGCCTTTTAGTTTGAGGAGCATTGTGTGGCCATTTCTTGGCTCCTTGTTTATTTTACCTGTGTGGAAGCAGTCTCTCTACTTTTTAGTGTAGAGGTAGTATTTGCTTAGATCTCATTCTCCTTGGTCCTAATTTATGAGTGGACTTTCCATGTCTATTTGGTCTTGTTTTATTTAGCAGCACAATATTAATGCATCCTCCTACAAATTGTTCAGATGAATTATTACTCCCTTGTGATGTTTTTTATTAATACTTATGCTATTAAATGTTAGCCGAAGCAAATTCACGATATCAAGGACTTCCTGCTTACTGCCAGAAGGAAGGATGCACGATCGGTCAGGATCAAAAAGGGGAAAGATGTGGTGAAGTTCAAGGTTCGGTGTTCCAAGTACCTTTACACCCTATGTGTGTTTGATTTGGAGAAAGCTGACAAGTTGAAGAAATCTCTCCCTCCAGGTAAGGACAATGGGTTCTACTTTAAGTAATTATGTCTTGCACTGGCTGCTGGGTTGTTAAGTGACCAAGTACTGATACAAAGGATTTTTCCTAGTAATTGAGTTTTCCACTAGATGTATAAATTGTATAGGGCCATAGTGGTTATATCTATGTATCTATGTTGATTAGGTCTGCAATTATGTTTAACATCTCACGATAATCATTTTTCAGTGTGAAGTTTTTATTATCTTCCTACAATTAGTAGGGTTCTTTGCATTCATACCGAAAAGTGTATAACAGAAGTATCTAAATAAAAATGAATTAGAAGACTATCTAAAAGAGTTTGGATGGGTTCTAAACCCTAATCTAATACGGGCTAGTAATTTCATCTCATTAAGTTTTGTTACATATATCCTTTTCATTTCCTTCCATATATCATTCCCTGGTATTTTATTAGTTCCAAACAGATCCTCAAAGGAAAGTCAACTACTTGTAACAGGCTTCAATTAGATGTGTTTGACTTCGATATACTTGCTTAAGATTTTGATGTTACAATTCTACCATTCATGATGTGTTTATGCGTGTTTGCTTCCGGTTATGGGTTTTATTCCATGTCAAAAACCCTCCACGCCTGAATCATGCTGGATTCACTTTCTAAATAATTATGTTTATGCAATTCTTGCAGGTTTGAGTGTGCAAGATCTGTGAAGGAGCTCCACTCTCTCGGAACATCTGAAAGACTGTTATCTGGTTTCATTACTTTGTTTTTGTGGACTTCCCATCAACTACTATTTGATATTTTGCTACATTTAGCGTTTGGTGTTTGTTTGTCTAGTCTTTTTATACTTTTGGGCGTATTAGGGACTTGTAATGGGTGAAAGCTAGGTAACCATATGCTCTTTTCAAGATTAATCGTTTGGCACACTTGTGATGGCCTTACTAGCGATTACCAGTCTTTGTCAGTCTTATGCATGGGTCTGCTAATCCTTGATCCCCATCAGAGGCTTGAAAGTTGGCCTATGGGAAAGTATGGGAATCCAACCAGGATTCTCTTTTCCAAAAAGTTCTTATGACACTTGAGCAGTTGAGCTATGCCTTTGCTTATTCGTCTCTAAATTAACTTGTATTTTAACATTATGATTTTTAAAAACCGTTAATAAAGAAAAATATTTGGTGAAATGTGAAATTTTAGGGTCAAATTATTTGGAAGAGAAAATTGTTCACATATCTATTTCTGAGATGGAAAAAATATAAATTTGAGTTTGATTTCGAGAGGGAGGTTGGAGAGAATACATGGTTTACTTTAAATGTATCTATAATTCACATGGAGTGTGAGTTTTGTCCCAAACACTACATTAGTTTTACTTTTAAAAATGTGGCATTATTGGTTTCCTTATTTGATATTCAAATACGTAGAAGGCATGCTCTTATGGCGGCATAGCTATGGGTTGATTTCAAGAAGTTTCAGATATACTTGAAAACTTGTCAAGCGGCACCTCCTTTTCTTTCAGCATTCCCACCAAAGCATTCCATTGCTATTTGGAATTGGGCTCCTGCTCTCGGTTTGTACCTCCAACCCCTGTTGTATAAGTCGTCGGTCCACCCCTGCTAGAGCCGCAAGAGCCATCGCCACGGCCACCAGTTCCTCCTCGCGATTGTCGTCCTTGACCGTGACCAGTGCCTCCTCTGCTGCGTCCTCCTCCGCTGGCAGGAGTTTGTGTACGGGTGGGGTGGGGGGGGGGTCTATTTGGAGTATATATAATATCACAAATTTTAACTAGCTCAAGTGGCATTTTGACAAATATAAGACCCGGAAGTAATTGTAATTTGAGCGGTCAAAAGGTAAATGATTATTGTGTAGGTCAAATAGTTTTAGTACCCATGTGGTTTGGAAAATTGTAATTGATACTCTCTCTATTTTCAAAATTTATTTCTAAAGTTCATGTGGTTTTAAAACGTTATGCGCATAACTCTTTTGATCATTGTCTGGTCTTTTTCTGACGTAGATAATGTATTGATGCCTATTTTCTAAACCATAGGGGCACTCGAGCTCATTTTTTCTTGTTTTTTCTATTTGTTTCCTTTTTCTAAAAAAGTTTTTAAAATTTCTTTCCAATTTCTTATAATGTTTGTGAAAATTCAAAACTCTTTGTGTTTGAAATGAAAAAACAAAATATATAGATCCATCTCAAATTGAACATTTTCATTTTTTGTTTTTTAGGATAATTTTTTTGGTAAGCTCAAAAAGAAGATTCAGAATTAAATATAAAAATATGGAAAAATGAAAATGAAAAAAAAAATTAAAACATACAAAAAAATTCTTATAGAAAAAGGAATTTTTAAAATGGCTAAAAAGTCCTAAGAATTAGGATGCCTAAAAAGGATATTCTTTTTATTTTTTGTTTTATTTCCTATTTATTTTTCAAACCTTATTCTAACGTTTTTAGGATTTCTATATACTCCCAAAACTAGGTAGCTAGGTTTTCCTAAATAAAGTAGTACTACGTAATAGGATAGGAGATCAGAAACCTAAGCCCAATATATATAATTCCATCCCCTCCCACGCACGCACACACCATTCTCTTCTTTCTCATTCATTCCCGAAAATCATCATCATCAGAGGGAGGCGAGCTGAGAGTAATCCGGCCGGCCGGCCGTTTGCATCTTGTTTATAATCAATAATGTGTTCGTCGTTTTCATGGGGTATTGTGCACCCAAGAGAAAGGGGTTTGTTATTTGTGAATGCAGGACCTGGTGACCCCCTTGATTATTTGATGGAACTCAAGCCGCGGGGATTTAGCGCACGTGAAGGGATATTATCGTGGATCTACGATTACAGCGAAGCTCTCTTCAAAACCATGACGGCTGTCGATGATGGGCGGCGACCTTACAGAATGTGCCGATTGGTATTCACAGTGAACGAGGAGGACGGGTCGGTGGTCCGAGCTTCGTACTTGCACTACAATTCACAGGGTCAAGTGTTGGACTTTGTCGACGATGAGTATGATTCTAATGCGGCTAGGAGTATGGCAGAGTCTCTGCTGCGCTGGGAAGGAATTATGAATGATTTGCCACCAAAGGCATTATTATTAGAAGAAGAAAGTGATGATGGGATTTGTGTGATTTGTCACGAAGAATATGGAGCGGGAGATATGATTGGAGCAGTGCATTGCAAGCACATGTTTCATGACAAGTGCATCAGGCAGTGGTTAAGAACGGAGTTTCGGTGTCCCCTTTGCAGGACTCGTGTTTTGGGTATTATCTTTCAAAAACACCGTTAGATTAGTTGTGCTCTGTCTGAATTTGCGAGGCATAATAATCATCACTAGCTAGTAGTAATTAATGTTCTTCAGCTGTTGTTTCAAACATACATGTTGATTCTGCACCATCATTATAATATTAGTGACCGACTAATTAAGGGATTATTCTGAAACATATATGTTGAGTTGTATTGTTTGTTTTCTATGCTATCTATCTATCTTATGTAGTTCTGTTAGCTGATAAATAAATTTAGTATTACACCATTTTCCTCTCTTGTTCCTTTGCTTCTCGATCTTCCCTTGTTGTTTCTCTGGACAAATTGAACTATTGTCAACTTATTTAGATTTGAGAAACATATATATATATATATATATATATATATATATATATATATATATATATTGCCATTGATGATACAAAATCTACATTGCCAAAAATCTGAAATTATTGGTCAAGTTCTAGTATGAAAAGCAGGCAAGCATATCAAAGGGCATTGATGGGATGGGAGAACTTATTTAGTTCAAGAACGAAGTTGATGAACATCCGTATAGTACAAGGCAGTGAGGCAGGCACACTGCACATCCCCTGTGCTGAGTTGGAACTCAGACGCCTCTTCCTCCTTGAACTGCTCGGCGGCTACAGGCTTCATCCATCATAGCATGGAGGAGCAATGGTATTACCTCAAATCTTCCTCTCTTTGTCAAAGAATTCGATTTGATATTCCCGTCGATTCATATATGCATTATAGTCATGACATATGGATGTCTTAGTGCATTTTTTAACGAGCTTTAACCCGCCATTTGTTATTTTTTGAAGGCAAAACAAGTTAACCATTCGTTATAGCTTCCCATCCAATCATTTTAGGTGAATGCAGCTTCTACCAAAATTAAGCCTTTCATTTAAATGAGACTGAAACTGAAAAACACCAGCTTTACCAAATTCTACACCTGGGGACCCAACTAGTTAGATTTTTGGGACAACACTTGCTTGATAAATCCAATGCTATTATATCACTTGAAAGATTTTGGGATGACACGGGACAATGATAGGAAAAGTTAAATACTCCATAAAGTTTTAGTATTGATAATTAGGAAATGATGATTGAACATTACTCCGTTGTCCATATGAGAGAAAAGCATTATGAATGTCTACACACTTACAATTATGGTCTTAAGTGGTATTAATCTGACAAATTGTTCAAACATGAGATTACTTAGGCCTGGAGGAGCTTACATGGGGTGATTAATTATTGTTCGAGGCTCAAGTTGAATGAATTTAACAGTACTCTATGTTAGGCCTGAATTAGAACTGACAAAAAATGATCCGACCTGTTTTTGAACGGAGCCCCGCCTGAAAATACTAGGTTTTGAACAAAGATTTTGCTGACCGAATCTGAAGTTGACCGAACTCGAAAGTACCCGTTAAAATGGGTCAAACTTGACCGAACCCGAACCCGAAAATCATATGCTTTAATATGTAATACTCCGTATAATGTTATAAAATAAAATTTTAATTATATTGCGTAATTATCTTACTTTTTCAGAAAAAATTGCATACAAAGTTTTTTATTCGTAATATTGATAATCAGTCATAAACATTACTTAAAATTTCAAAAAATAAATGAAAGTCATAACCCGTTGGGTCGACCCAAACTCAATGATATTGGGTCATGAACATCTAGCTCTCAACCCGAACTCGAATTTATCAGAACCCGAAGTAACCTGAGTAATGCAAAGAGTAAAAAGATTTGCAATGGAGAGGCTAAAAATGTTACTCTCTTTGTTCCAAAATATTTGCCACACTTGCCTTTTCAACACTTACGGAAACTTTTGTTTATTTTTACGTTTTCATTGGTTATTTAATAAAATAAAATATTCTTAACACCACTTATTTTAAAGAATTTTTCATGTAGTTTTTTGAAAAAAGTAAAAAGTTTTTCATGTTTTATTTTTATACTAATATAAAATAAAATAGATTGAAAAAAACTTGATATTTTACCTCGGTAATAAAAGTGTGACAAATATTTAAGAACGGAGGTTATAATTAACGATTTAACGGTGCTAGTGAGCTTCATCATCAATTAATCAAACGGAGTGTTTGAAAATTTATTCACCTCAAATACGTAGTAGCATATTCCTTATTTATTTATTGTGTTTGAAAATTTATTAGTTAATCATTGCGATTTGCGAATTTGATTTGTCTTCCCTCCTGCTAAGCTTCTAGCCTAGGAAAATTCCCATATAGTTTTTTTTATTCTTCAAATATTTATTGTCCGCACTATTTATCTTTTTTTCATTAATTAATTATTTTAATATGCGTGTGAATATATATAAATATCCTTTTTCATAATTATATGCTCTATGTATTTAAATAAAATTTATTTTTACAATTCACACTCTCTAATGATAACTTCTTTCATTACCCATTTATTTAATTTTTAAATATAATACCGAGTATAAGATGTGATAAATAAGATTTTTCAAAAGTTTATTTCATTGTTAATATACAATAAAATTTAAAGTAATTGATAAATAAATTTTGTCCAATTTAATTTATGACCACTAGTAATATAATGGTCGTAACGTCGGGGGGAGGGGGGGCATCATGAGCCATTTAACGCAAGTGGGACGTTAAACATCGCCCCCCTGCCGCATTATACGGGTGTCACCTTGCCAAATGTTTAATGCTAAGAAAAGGAGAGGGAGAGAGTCGTTGGTGGCCCAAACAACTATAATGTTGTTGGTCGTTATTTATAATTTTTTTATTTTCAATACTATAAATCTCTAATTTTTAACACAACAACCACACACAACTTATTATCATTCTCTCCATATTTCCTCCAAAATATATTCTATTTCTTTTAATTCTCTCTATAAAATATTTGAAAAATGGGATCATCATCTGACGATGAAAAAAGAGCTCTCATTTTTTGTTTCATGACGGGTTGTTTTCGATCAATGGTGGCAACAAAGGCAACGAGAACAAGCAAAATCCTCCCGATGATGATGCCTGACATGACGTGAGCGTTTAAATCATGATCGGATAGTTGTACACGCTTCATTACTCAACGACTACTTCAATACTCTATGCGATTGTTTTCGGATGAGCCGTTCTCTTTCTTTTACGCATACTCACGATATGGAATGCAAGGTGCCTTGGGTCACGCAATGTTGTGATGCGAGAGGCTAGTGTGGTTTTAGCAGCCTCCAGGCCGTTGCGCTATGTCAGATGGCGTACGGAATATATGATATGTTCGACGAATATTTGAAGATGTAATGTCGGAGTATCAAGCCACGTGTTTATACTATACATTTTCTAAAGTTATTATTCAACTTTGTCATAAAAAGTATTTACGTAAGTCGACAACGAGTGACATTGAGTACTTACAGGCTAATCATGCTGCTAAACGCAGCTTTGTCGGCATGTTTGGGAGCATCCATTGCACACATTGGGAATAGAAAAATTGTCCCACTGCGTGGCATGGTCAATTTTCTGTGGTGATCATTTCAAGCCTACTATTATGCTCGAAGTTGTGACTTCTAATAGTTTGTGGTTTTGGCATGCTTTTTTGGGGTGGCAGCTCGAACGATGACATCAATGTTCTAGATCAATCGAAAATGAGGAATATCATGTACGCATGTTTTATTTTACATAATATGATAATAGACGAAAATGAGTTTGCAATATGACATTACAACCTGAACCTATGAAGAAGTCGATGAAGAAAAGAAATGAAAAAACCACCAAGAAATATGAAGTCGAGAAATTAGGGATGACAATGGGTCGGATTTGGGTCAGATAGTATTATCCCCAAACCCGATCCAACTTTTAAAACTGAAACCTGAACCCGACCCGAAACTCGACTTTGAAAGCCAAAAACCCAACCCGAACTGAATCCTATAGTTCAACCCAAACCCCGAACCCCACCTGAACCCGACTTTTAACCAACAATCAATTTGACGTACTCCAATAATTTTAAAAAGATTAAATCTAATTTTTTTGTCTCTTTTTTTGTCTCATTTTTATTAAGGAATTATAAAAATCATTATAATAGGCATGCTTGATATAATAGCACTTTGTCAGGAAATTATAAGGAGTGTTCATTACATCCATGGATAGGCTTTTATGTTATAAAATATTCAGGTTTGAATCGAACCAGGTGTGGATTCGGGTCTGGTCGAGTAATTATAAACCTAGACCTGGCAAAACAGAACCGGAACCGATTACCCGAACCGAAATATACGAAACCAAAATCGGAATGACCCGAAAAATGAAGATCCAATCTATAACCGAAAACTCCGAAATGATCCGAATCGAACCAAAACCGAACTAAATAATTCATATCTGATTTAAATCCGAAACCGATTAGATCCGAAACCGATAATATCCGAACCGATTTAACCTGAAACCGATTAGATCCGAACCCAATAATACCCGAAACCGATAAAATCCAAAACCGATTAGATCTGAAACCAATAATATCCGAACCCGATTAGAACTAAAATCGATAAATTCAGAACTATGTTTGCCTTTCAATAAGCATATTATATTTTTTAATTTTTACTTTTATTTTACCATTTGAATTAATTACATTAGTTGCTCATTTCCTCATAAAATAGATTATCTTCTTGAAAAAAATTACAAAATTTTATTCCTTAAATTTATTACTCCGTATATATTGAAATTAAAGATAGGTTATACATATAAACACACAAACAAATAAAATTTTCGTAATTTTTAAATAGTGAAGTGTGATATTCTTTTTTGAACGAAAGGAATATATGATGAATTGTATGGTATAACTAGATTTTATCCTAATTTCATCTCATTACAATAAATTTTATTGATTTGAGAGTTAATTTGATTAGTTTCAAACCAATTCACTCAATATTAGTCGATAAAATTAGATGCTAGTGTTAGCATTTTGAAAAGACTCTGTAGCGACAGCCTTACTATTATCATTTTCAAATTTGATCTACACCATTACATTTAGGTGTAAAATTAATTATATTTGACTCTATTAAATTTAATTTTCTCTATTTTCAACCAAATATACTCAATAATTTGCAAATTTTGCACTCAATTAAATAAAATTCACTTAATTTCACCCAATTTTACTCAATTTTTACCAAATTGTATTCAAATGGAACATAAGACTATTTGAATTTATCTTTTATCCTTTCATTTATATACATAAGTATATTAGTAGATGTGAGAAAAATTTGATATTTCAAAACTAAATTTTAAAATCAATTTAATTATATTAAATTTATATCATAATTAAATATATATGTTTTCATAATTTGTAGTCCAAATTTGTAAAATATGACTAAAAAGTCAAAAAGGGAAGACTATTTAGGGTAGAGATAATATAACTAGAAAAAAATATAAAATAATACTCCCTCCATTCTAAAAAATACTTCATCTTTCATTTTTTCCACTTCCAATAAAACACTACCACTTTCTATTAAAAAATCACTTCTACCCTTACTTTTTCATACCTTACCTATCACATCATACTTTTTCTCTAATAATGTATCCATCACATCTTACTTTTACCTATCACATCAAGGGCAAAATTGGAAATCAACTATAATTTAACACTTCCTTATTTTTGATCCAAATCAAAATAGGAAGTTTTTTGCAAACGGAGGGAGTGTGAGGTATTGAATTGATGATAGATTGATAAATGTGATATAACATAAAAAGAAACACGGATAGTTAAATTTTAATTAGAAAATAATATATATCCAAAATATATTTGATCCGAAACCGAAATATATATCCGAACCGAACTAGACCCGAAACCGAAATATATCCGGCTCAAATTGTATCCGAACTGAAATCTATCCGAACCGATTTATAAACGAACCGTATCTGAACCGACTCGAAACCGAATCGAACCGAAAAATGTATAGAACCGAAATCAAATCCGAACCGAAATTTAACTGATCCGATTCGAACCGAACCGATTATAACATATAACCGAAAGATATCCGAACCGAAAAAATCCAATCCGAAACCGATCGGGTTGATCCGATTGCCACCTCTATATAAACCCACACTCGACACGATATCGGGTTCGGGTAAAAATATCAAGTCGAGTTTTGATTATTTTATTCTCAGTTCGGGTTCAGATATTTTAGTACTCAATCGGGTCGGTTAAGCTCGGGTTCGGGTTGAATTGCATCCCTACGAGAAATCTACAATGCACTGACAGCGGATTCGATTGAAGATATTTTTAGCCACTCGAATAATCACTAATTTCTTCGTAATGTAATATTTTTTTTATTTTTATTGTTATTATTGAAATCTTATTTTGTTAATGTAATTTTTATTGAATGTGTGTTTTTATTTAATAAATTATTTCCCTTTAAATCCAATTAAATAATGGAATATTATTAATTTAATTTTATAAGATGCGTATTTAAAAATGTAAAATATAAAGATTTGAAGCCTCAATTTGAAACTTTGGAGATTCAAATCCATTTCTAGTAAAATTGTGGTGTAAATTAAAAGTGATGTGACAATAAAAGAAAGTTTGAAGTCCTGGAATATTAGTAATTTAATTTTATAAGATGTGTATTTTAAAATATAAAATATAAAAATATTTGAAGCCTCAGCTTGAAGATTAAAAGATTCAAATCCATTTTTAGTAAAATTTTAGTGTAATTAAAACTGATGTAACAATAAAATTTCTTTTGAAGCCATGGAATATCACGATCATTACCACTACTCAAAAAAATTAAATTGAACAAATATATTGAGGTCTTGTGTGTGGCAGCACAAATATTATGTTGATTTAAAATTGATAGTGCAAAAAATGAATTGAAATTGGTAAATTCAGTTTTATGAAATTAAATCCTACAGAATTTCAATTTTAATTTAGGCTCCATTTGGTACACGGAATTCAAATTGTAGAATTGAAATTGATTCTGGTGTTTGGTAGCACAAAAATTATGTGGATTTGGAATTGATAGTGCAAAAATAAATTGAATTGGCAGAAGTCAATTCTATGGAATTGAATCCCATAAAATTTCAATTCCAATTCAATTCCAATTCTATCAATTCTGCATACCAAATAGATCCTTAATTCTAATTCCACCAATTCCTTATACCAAAAGAAACCTGAAGCATTTTCGTAATAAGATAAGAAAAATGCTAGGAGTATACCAAATGTGTACCCTATATATCCTCCTCTTTGTACATAAAAAAGGTAAGAAAATTCAAAAAAAGCAAATAAAAATCAAATAAAAATATGTGGTAGAAAAGGAGCAAGATACATTTCGGTATCTTTGGTTTACCATGATTGCTAGTTAGATAAAGATGGACCTAGCGGAAGAATAAAGAGATGTAGAGCATGTAAATGCAGATGATCTGTATCTGAAATTTTCCGTCCTTTTTTAGGTTACTTTTCAATTCTAGGGTCTTCTCCCTACCTTTCTCCTTTGCCATCATTGGCCCTTGAATGCTGATTATTTCCCAAAGATTAATCCTTTCTCAACGGGATTACCCGTTTTTTTTTCGATTCTTCCTCTCCTGTTAAAAGCGGTGCTACAAAGATTGCGACTTTCTTGCTCTTTTCCTGCGCGATTTGAGGTTCTCGTAAAATGGGTCATTCATTGTGAAAATCCCCATTCCAGATCCCTCTTTTGCCAGCATTCACATCTGAAATCTGGGTTCAATTCATCGCCGCCGATGGCTACCCTGGTCCCCGGGGTTCTGTTGAAGCTTCTCCAGCACATGAACACCGACGTGAAAGTTGCAGGAGAGCACAGATCGTCTCTGCTGCAAGTGGTGAGCATCGTTCCCGCGCTTGCGGGAAGAGATCTCTTCCCCAACCAAGGATTCTACCTGAAGGTATCGGATTCCTCTCACGCCACTTATGTGTCTTTGCCCGATGAAGAACACGATCTCATACTCAGTGATAAGATCCAATTGGGTCAGTTCATTCATGTTGAGCGCCTCGAATCTTCTTCCCCAGTGCCTATCCTCAAAGGGGTTCGGCCTCTCCCAGGGCGACACCCTTGTGTTGGCACCCCTGAGGATATAGTTGCTGCCAATTCTTTAGGGTTCCTGAATAATAATGGAAATCTCGGTTCAGATAAGCATCAAGACAAATCTAAGAGTAAATCTCAGTCGGTGGCGAGTAAATCTGGTGTTTTGAGATCGAATGGCAGTGCAAAAGAGGAGAAAACAGAAAAGAGAGGGTCAGCATTGGCTAAATCAAAGTCTCATTTGTCCAAGCTTGCATTAACTCTAGTAGTTGACAAGAAGAAGGATTCTTCATTGAAGTCTAACAAGTCGTCTGGTTCGAAATCAATACCTTCTTCTCCAACCAGCTGTTACTCGTTACCGAATTCTTTTGAGAAGTTCTCAAATGGGGTTAAGCAGCAGACAAAGATTAAGGGGTTGGAAAGGTTAGAGAAGTCCGGTTCAGTTCGAGGGACGAGTCCAACTACAAAGAAGGTGTTGCGTGGGGATTCTGCAAAGAATATGGGGTTAGGGATTGAATTCTCAGGGCCCAAGGCATTGAGAAAGAGCTGGGAAGGAGGGAACATGGATGTAAAGGGCGGTAGAGAGAGTCCCAGACTGAAGGTTATCCAACGTGGCTTGAAGCCTGAAGCTCGGAGTACTTCGGTCAGTCACTTGCTATACACCCACCCCGAAAGTACATATTAGTTACAGCCTGCTTGGGATGATTTTTGTAGTTTCAGTGCTTTTATCATATGATTACTTTCTTAATTAAGCATTAACAGTGTTTTTCTTCACTGCTAAAAGCAATTCAACATTTTCCCTGCAAAATCCATCTGTTTTACCTAAAAAGGATTAGTTTCCGTTTGAAAACACATATTCCTGGAAAATTTGTCTACCCAAACACACTCTTAATCTTCAACATTAAATGCTTTTGATTGTCGGTCTTGCTTTACACGGAAGCATTAATTGTGAGAAGATATTTTTAATGTAAATTCCCTTTTATGCAAAATTAGGTGAGAGTGGTTACAACTTTGACATCCATGACTTAGATGCACTGTTTTGAATCCGTTTATTTCCGTTTTCGTTGGGGATTAGTCTCTTATCTGGTACTGTATATATAGTAACTAGAGACCTTATCCTGTTTTAAATTTTCCAATGTGTTACTCGTAAATTGAAAGTTTGTAACATATATGAGATTCTATAAACACTGAAGGAGTAGCATATAAGAATTCGGTAATGCCTTTTCATTTTTTTTGTTACATCCAATCCCTATGCCTTAAATTATTTCTCTTCTTTTACTTTCTGCATGGTTTTTAAGAGTAATACATCAAAGTCTATGGGTGTTTTATACTATACAGTAGCGCATAAAAAAATTAAATATGGCAGCCAGGTGCGCTGAAGGGGCATTTATCACTTGGAACAGTTTATCTGAAGATGGATGGATTATAATAAAGAGATACACTAAGACCTCCATTGACTTCCCTTTGAGACCTTCCAAAAAGACCATTCAAANACTGATGCAGGCTCCAAGAAAATCAACAAGTGAAAGGATGCCATCAAGGGAAGAAAACAAGGATTTTTCTTTTAAGCCGTTTTCCAAGGAGGAAAATAGAAACGCAGGTGCTAAAAAGATTTCTACCAAAGCAGAGCCTGTTGAATTAGAAAGTTCTAACAAGTTAAAAGCTTCTTCTGCAAAGAAGTTATGTGGGGAGGTCAATAATGGTTTTCCAGGAAATTTGGTAAAAGTTCCTATCAGTAACAGGAGATTAACAGATGCAAGTGCTTCCTGGTCTCCTCTGCCGTCTTCTCTTGTGAAGCTCGGAAAGGTAGTGTCTCGGTGTTGCTACAATCTTAATTTGAACTTCATGATTCTCATTTTTGGTGTAGTGAAAACAACCTCTCTGTTTTAAAGGTGTAACATTGTGTACATGTTGATCCTCCAAACTCTAAATAAGTCGGAATTCACTGGATTCTACTGTTTCTATATTAAATAAAAATGGGGGGGGGGGGTTAGTATTGACCACATGCTTAAAGATATCATTTTTGACAATAATGTTTTGCATGTCATGAGTAATGAGGTTTTCCTAAATATTGCAGGAGGTTCTGAAGCACAGAGATGCTGCTCAGATGTCGGCAATTGAGGCAATGCAAGAGGCTTCGGTTGCTGAAAGTTTGCTGAGATGCCTAAGGTAACTCTCTCTTTAATATGGGACTATCAAGGGTAACTATTTCCATGTTTGGTTTTTCCAAATGAACATACAAATCAAAACCAAGATGTACTCTGTATTCTTGAATTCTTAAGAGTTCAAAATATACTTTCTTTTTTATAATCTTCCTCCACCTTTCCTCTATACTTTATTTCTTTACCAAGTTCAATAGGAAACCTTATAGTAGAATCATTATTACCATTGTGGTGGCAGCACGTATTCTGAACTGAACTCGTCAGCGAGAGAAGATAACCCACAGCCTGCTGTTGAACAGTTCTTGGCCCTACATTCTAGCTTGAACAATGCTCGGCAGGTTGCCGATGCTCTATCCAAGACCACAGCCACTATCGCTGATCAAGAAGAAGATGAAAAGCCGGTGTGTGATGAATCAGAAAAGTTAACATCTGAGAGGAGCAAACTAGCTGCTTCTTCATGGGTCAATGCTGCTTTAGCCACCAATTTGTCACCCTTCTCCCTATACACCACAGAGACAAAGCAAGGGGCTCCAACTACCACTCCCACCCCAATCCTAGTCCTCAGCAGCCACACTGCCGCCAAAACGTCATCAGCTTCAAAGTCCCAACCCAAACCCCGCCAACCAAAGAATGCCGCTTCAGGAATGATTCCCCGGCGGCTATCTGATGTGGGCCAGAAACCAAAGCCCGCCTTGCCTCCAAGAGAATGGGCCAGAGGGTGCGGGCTTGATGAGGCGGTGGACCTGGCCCAGATGCTGCGGGCCGAGTCTCAAGACTGGTTCTTGGGATTCGTCGAGAAGTTTCTAGATGCTGACGTGGATGTCTCGGCTCTGTCTGACAATGGCCAAATAGCTGGCATGCTGACTCAGCTGAAGAGCGTGAACGACTGGCTGGATGAGATTGCCAGAGCGGGAAGGGATGGAGGTGACGATGCTGAGGAAACATCTCGCGTCTCCTTGGAAACAACGGATAGGATACGAAAGAAGATATACGAGTATCTGCTTACACACGTTGAATCTGCGGCTGCTGCACTTGGTGGTGCCAGTTCGCAGCAGCCATTGACAACACCAGAAACCAAAATGAGAAGATGAATTTTTTTCTTTTCCCCCTTTCTTTTTCATGTTTATACAATCTTTCCTTGAGTTCTTGCTTAGTTGCCCAGATAAAAGTGTGCATGAAATGTATATAGATTCGTTTCTCCTTTACAAACAGTTATGTTTCATTACTTTCATTCTTAACTTGCCACTATACACAAGAAACTGTGTAGGAGATGGAGGACACTGGAAAGCAACTTTTCCTTGTGTGATGTGGAATCATTGTTGGTAGAATTTGTTGATAAAGAAAATGGGAACACATGGATATTATTACTATATTCAATTATTGTTACGAGTATTATTTTTTGACAATGTTGCTATATTCAAGTTTAGTAATTTAGATCTAAGGATATATTCCAGTTTAGATTTTAAAAGATTTTGAAATACCTTTTAAAATACATGGATAATGTAAAGTTCATGAATTGTTTTAATTCTATATAAAGTTGAATAGATTGCAATGTATTTTACGATTAGAGTATAAAAGATTTTTCTTGATTAGTTAAAAATAATTTTTCTAAAAGATAGTTTCGGCTTAAAGAAAGATCTCTAATAAGTCGTGGAAATGTAGACTCATCTTTATTCTTTGGGTAACACACTACCACTCTATATGGAGTATACGGTACTCTTAACGAAATTGCCATAGAAGTAAAATTTAACTTTTATTCTCAAATTAAGTGTAATATATTTTTATCGCTAAAATGAAACTATTGCACCGTGACAATATGATATATATATATATATATATATATATATATATATATATATATATATATATATACACACTTTTGAATTGAACTAAAATAATTGATCGAATTCAATCTTTTAATGTGTTTTAGTCCAAATACCAAAGGACCTAGTTCACTGCTTCCTATCTCAAAAATATATTGACAATATTGATATCATTGGACCATATTTTAGAGAGAATTGGAAAGCCTAAATTTCTTGTTTTGTTTTTATTGCAATGTTTTAATTCTATTTTAATCTTTTTTCTATGTTGTCAGCTTTGTATTCCAAGTTTTATTTTTTTGAAGGTTGATATAGATCATGTTGTAAGTGTGTTTTGTGCTTAAATTGCAAATATTCGAATGAAAGTTATTTGAGTGGGGTATTGGAAGTCATGTAACAAGTTACGCCACATTCATAAATTATGCATAGTGTGCAAATGGATACAAAATTTGGTTTGCTGATAGAGTACCTCTTTGAATTATTGTCTCTTTGAGTTCAATTCATTGCAACCAAGTTGGAAATCAACCCCCAAAGGAAAAGGCTGGTTTATCTTTTCAAAAGTAAAATTGAGCGCAATGTAATACGGGAGTAACATTGATTCATCGAACCTCAGTGCGCCCGGTTCCGAATCCGTAAATGGAAGCTCATTATCACTTTTACTTCAAGCTTTTGTTTCTTCTCCTCCCCATCATCTTTCAATCAGCTCTTTCTGAAATCATTTTTGAAGAACGCTTCGATGGTGATGATCTATAACTTTTAACTGCCTTTGATTCATTTATTATCTTAAATTTGAGATTTCTTACTGGTGTTTTCCACTGATTGTCTGTGCGCATTGGTTTTTTTTGGTGAATAGATCCTGGATGGAGGGAGAGATGGGTGTTGTCGGATTGGAAGAGGAGGGAAGGCAAAGCGGGAACGTTCAAGCACACCTCCGGCAAGTGGCCCGGCGATCCCGACGACAAAGGTATGCCGCAGTCTTCCACTTTTTCTGCAAATTGAAGTTCATTATTAGATCATTTGAGCTCAATACCACTATGGATCGAAGAGGTGTATACTTTGGGTTGAATAATGAAATTTGTAAGAGGAGCTGCTACTTGAGAATACTGTGTAGCGATTGTACTGAATTTAATTTCGCTGTGTTGTTTTGGATGAGACAGTAGACTGTAGTGTTAGTGGGTTCAATGGTTACAGGTATCCAAACACACAATGATGCCAAGCATTTCGCCATATCTGCTAAGATTCCGGAGTTTAGCAACAAAAATAGAACCCTACTAGTTCAGTATTCAATAAGGTTTGAACAAGACATTGAATGTGGCGGTGGGTACATTAAGCTGCTATCTGCTTACGTGAACCAAAAGAAGTTTGGGGGTGATACACCGTACAGGTTCGTGGCTTGTATATTGGGTGTTTGAGTTGTTGTAGTGTGAAAATATTAATAAGTGTATCCTTACAAAAGGAGAACATTTGGATATAAAAGTTGTTTTAAAAAAAGTTGAGAATAATTTTGGAAAAGTGAGCGTGGTGTAATTAAAACACTTCCGTAAACTACAAATGGTAGCTGCTGATTGTGTTTCATTCTCTGGCTCTGAATGCTTATCTTGAAGCAAAGTGCTGAATGCACCCTTATGTCGTCACACAGTTGATGCAGCTACCATTTGTAGTTTTGTACTACCTCATTTACTACCTATAAATTGATTTTTGAAGATTTTCAACATTAAACTTATGTGGTCTTAATTGTGTCTGTGCAGTCTAATGTTTGGACCCGATCTGTGTGGCTCACAAACGAAGAAGCTCCATGCTATAGTATCCTACCAGGGGCAGAATTATCCCATTAAAAAAAATTTAGTTTGTGAGACAGACAAGTTAACTCATTTTTACACATTCATTATAAGGCCAGATGCAACATATAGTATTCTCATTGATAACCGTGAGAGAGAATCTGGAAGCCTGTACACAGACTGGGATATCCTACCTCCTCGTAAGATCAAAGACGTCCATGCAAAAAAGGTATGCCATTGTGTCTTTGATTCACTATCTCACTTTAGCACCTCATAACTTTTACATTTCTTAGGTGTAATGCCACACAAAAATTGGCCCATAGATGCACCATAACGATTTAAGAATCGTAGTATTGTAATACTCCTTCCATCCCAAAATTAAAGTCCACTTCTATATTTGGCGTCCCAAAACTAAAGTCACACTTCTCATATTCCCTTTTTAGGAATAGAATATGTGGCTCAGTATATTTCTCTCTTATAAACAAATTCTAAGCATTCACTTTTTACTTTTCAACGCTTTTCTTAAAATCCGTGAAGTCAAAGAGCGACTTTACTTTTGGGATGGAGGGAGTGTTTTTTAAAAATGAATGTCAATCTCTATTGTTGACATGCATGTTTACTCTATCTATAGTTGTAAATAAAGATCCAGAAAAATATTAAAGATGCCAACTTTCTCTTCTTGTGCAGCCTGCAGATTGGGATGACAGAGAGTATATTGATAGTCTGGATGATGAAAAACCAGAGGTATATGATTAATGGTCATCTCTTTATTATATTGTGTTTGTTAAAATGATTATCATATGCTAATAACCTTTACCTTGCTGCAGGGATATGATAAAATCCCGCCAGAAATATCTGATCCAAAAGCGAAAAAGGTCTGCTGCTTTTTTTAACTTTTCCTTTATATTGGTTCTAAAGGATCATTATTCTTACTAGAGCTTGCATACACTTTTCTTTCCAGCAAGTTCTTTGCATAACGAATATCTTAAATCATGAATCATTGAATTAATGGGCAGTAAAACAACTTGTCTATATTTGCTTATATTTTGCTATGCCTTTTACTATTAGATGTTGGAAATAAGAGCAACTGTGGCTGCACATGATGACATTAATTAGTACTGAAATGATGAGCTCTTGCTATTGATTTTCTTTGTCTTTTCTCCAATAGCCTGCTGATTGGGATGATGAAGAGGATGGAACATGGAGACCACCCAAGGTGCCAAATCCAGAATACAAGGGGCCTTCAAAACGCAAGGTGATCTACTGATCTCTCCTTGCAATGTTGGATAATCTGATTCCTCTCCAGAATTATTGTGCTCTCAAAGCTTTTCCTAACCTCTGCATTTGGTTGATATCACAGAAAATTAAGAATCCAAACTACAAGGGCAAATGGAGGACTCCGTGGATTGATAACCCTGGTGAGCCTAATGTTGTTGTACAGACTTTAATTTCTCATTACTTCAGGTGCATAACTGTTGATACTAGAAACTTCGGAATTTTAATCCATTGGTTACTACTAAACAGATCACGAATATTATGAAGTATATGGAGTATGTTCTAAGAGAAGAATATATTGTGCTGTTTAAATGTTATAACTTAATATTCTTTATTGAGTAATATATGATTATCTCTGCAATGGTCTAATAACCAAAAAGTGATTGGAATGGTGGCTTATTGGTTAAACTGAGAACAACTGTTCTTGCTACCTAATATGACAATTGTAAATGTATTCTTCTCTGCAGAGTTTGAGGATGATCCTGACCTATATGTGTTAAAGCCTGTAAAATATGTCGGCATTGAAGTTTGGCAAGTAAGATATGCAACATTACTGGAAGAATTTTGCGTCAAGATTTCAATTGTGTTATAGGCTTTATGTTCCTAAGTCATACACACAACCATCTGTCTCCATCTCTCCTACTCCCTTGTTTCTCTCTGTTGATATTTGATGCCAATCTGATTTTTTCTTTTTTTTCTCCGCATCTGCTATATTGCTTGATCTGCAATCGCAAAAGCTCTAATCTATGTTGCCATCATAAATAGGTAAAAGCTGGTTCGCTGTTCGATAATATTCTGATATGCGATGACCCACAGTATGCGAAAGAAGTAGTTAATGAAATATGGGCAAAAAATAGGGAGGTGAGAAACATCTATAAAGATTCTTCTATTGACCCAATAGAGACACCTGATTTGTTTTTGTTTAATGTTGATACTTCACAGGCTGAAATGGAGGCATTTGAGGAAGCAGAGAAAATGAGAAAGGCTCGAGAAGAAGAGGTAGCCAACCATCCGAATATTTTTCATAAATTTTTTCTTTCAGTCCTTGAACGTCAAATTTCTGAGCAATATTGTTTTGAGATTATCTAAACAATTAAGTACGCAGGAAGCACGACGAGCCAGGGAAGAGGGTGAGAAGAGGAGAAAAGAGAGGGACCTTCGCTACAAGCGCCGGAGAAGGGTATCTTTTTTACTTTCTACTCCCCCCGTCCCATATCTTTCTTCTAGTTCCTTTTTTTGGGCTGTCTCATATCTTTCTTCATCTTTCCTTATTTGGCAAAAAAATAACAACAATGTGACTTTTTTGCCCTCAATTCACTACCCATTACTGCCTCATATAACTTTTCACCTTTTTTACATTTCTCTTTAATTATCTTACATTTAAGAACAACCATTTCTCTGATTGCTCTGCAATGCTTCTTCATATTTCCTTATATATATGATTGTATCTACTATTATAATAATGTACAAATACCTGGTCCATTAAAGTATTGTATGAGAGTATTTAATCCATTGGTTCGTTCAAAATATTACTCTGAATTATTCTTGATTTGGACTGAGTCTAGCAGTGTTCATATATGAGCATCATTTGACAATTTTTGTGGTGCTAGTGCTTTTGATTTTTACATATCTTAGTTTGAAATTTCAAATATTATCTTCAAGTTGCTGCAATATACTCCGTAGTATGGAGCATTTGAAAGGTTACCCAGAAATATATCAGCTTTCTTTTCTTCCTTTTTCTGAACCTGCTCTAATCCAAAGTTGTTTTTTAGCTGTTTTAAGTAGTTGGCGATTTATCGACTTGGATATATTATACTTTGTGTAAGAACTAAGGTTTGTAGAGTGTAACAGTTCATTCTGGTTGCTCTTCCTACATTCAATGTAGAGCTAGGCAATATTGATGCACTGTGAATGTTTTTTCTTAGTTCATGCATGCATTTCTTCTCAATACGTTTGATTGCAAGTTCGGAATGCTGTAGCTTGTTCACTAAATGATTTCAGAGCAGCATGTAGGGCGTTACCTTCATAGTTTTTTGGTGTTATTTAAATCCCTTTCGATATCTGTAATTGTTTTACACTTTTTGCGCATCTCTTACACTTTTGGTAATTTGATCAAACCTCAGAGATGTAGATAGAATGAACCCTAATTACATTCATCTGAGACTGAATTTATGATTTCATGTTTCTGATACTTCCCTCTTTGTCATGCAGCATGATCGCCATGACTACATGGATGACTACCATGTAAGTAGTAGACTATAAACTCTACTCCATCCTGGGATGTAATCTCAAATCTTAGCTAATTATTATCTAAAAATTGTTCTGAAAAAGAGGCCTAACATTATTTGGTCGCGCTTCTCACCTTCAACGAGTACACTTGTTACACTTTATTCATAATGCAAGTTTTTTTGTCATCTGCAGGATGAACTATGAGGGCTTCATCAACTGCTCTAAAAATCAGATATTCTTCGTGAGTCAGTATCTCCTAACTTCACTCACACCTTTGATTCTCGCCTTTTTCGTCTTTCGAGAAGGGCTACATATTTGTTGTTGTTGTTGTTGTAACATGAAGAATGTACAATTGAGCTTTAATTTTATACCTGTAATAGTGAAAAGCACTTTGATTGTCTATTCTTGAGAACATTATATTCAACCGTTCGCCCAAGATCATTATGAAGTTAAGTGGGGATGTAGGTAGGGTTCTCTAGCATGACTCTCCTTACTATTTCAGTTGTGTTTATCGTGAATTGAATTAAAATGTTACTCCGTATTGTTTAGTTATATTTTAGTTGTGAGTAAATTAGTGGCCGTGTTTAAATGGTACGTAGTACACAGGAGAAAAGTTACAAATTTAACGATAAAAATTGAAAGTAGCATCGTCATTTTTGGATTTTTACCTTTGTAAGGAGTCGCATTTGCAAAGGCTGTATTAATGAGATAATCTTTGTAATAGTTTAATGTTTTAAATATTAAGGTTTGATTTGATATAATCTGGTCTGAGTTAATTATAATCATATTTAAAGTTGTTTTTAATTTGTTAGTTGTAAAATGATCTGATCTAATTGTAATAAGAATAAGTAACGCGAAGTCGTAAGTAATAAAAATAAATTCAAAAGAACAAATTTTGTTTACTGCTCGAATATGCTTGTTCTATACTCCTTTTTTGGCAGTTGGATTTCTATCACTCCCTATGTTCCATTAACCTTCACATTTATTTTTGTTCTTGGTCAAAGTTTGTAAGGATTGACCTCGATATACAAAAGAAAATACATCATTTTTTAAATATAAATGTAATATAAATAGTTTTTTTTTTGAAAAACACTTTTGAGATATAAATTTTTTATTAAATATACCTATAACAAATATTGACAATAATTTTCAAATAAGTATTTATACCATATATTCTGATGCACATTATTTTTGTACATCTGCATGAATATTCATTTTTGAGTAACAAAATACGGAGTATTCATTTTTGAATAGCTGAATATACATTTTGAGTAACTGAATACTTGTTTTCGAGCACAACTAATTTATTGAGAAATCAGTATTCAGTTACTCAAAAATAAATATTCAGTTGTTCGAAAATGGATATGTTTATAGAAAACATCGCACAACCGATTGTACGACATATATTGTGTGGTTAAAGTTGGCTATATTAAAAACCAATAAAAAGTCAAATAGAAATATTAAAGCAGGATATATGGAATATTAATTACGGAGTACTCTCCCTATCATAATTTAAGCTACGGAGTACATATTTACTGTTTACATGGTCAATTTTTTAACCACTTTCATTACTCATTTTCAGATCAACTCAGAGCATCTCCAACCACATTTGCTAAGCATGACTTACTAAACTCTTTTTTTAGCATGTAAATAGTGGTATAGCAAGCCATTTTGCATTATCATGTCCAACCTTTCCTTGCTATAATTTAGCTAAAAAATATATTATAATTGTTTTCACTACTACACTATTTATAATAATTTTTAAATTATATTATTTTATATTATAAAAAGTAAGTAATAAGCATGTAATTTAAATATAATAATTTTAATTTTTTTTACTTTAGGTAAAATAATAAAATATACTATGTATTAATTTAATTATTTAATAAATATCAAGTAAAGAGTAGATAAAAAATAAAAAATTAGAAAGTAGAAGTACCAAAATATTTTGAGAAGAGAAAAATGAGAGAAGAAGAGAGAGAAATTAATTATTTTATTAATATCATAGCTTGTTATATTTTGAGAGGTTTGCTTTATATAACAAGCCAAAGTTAAAATAATGCAAGTGCGTTATAATATAGAAAGCCCCTTGGAGCATAAAAGTTGACATGACTTGCCAAATTATGACATTTAGCAAGTCAAAACCTAATGGTTGGAGATGCTCTCACATTTGATAAAATAACATACTCATGTCATTTCTTGTTTCATAGAATTTTAAGTTTAGTTCATAAATATTTTGTATGCAAACTTATTTTTTAATTTATATCGATTTTCATATAAAATAAATTGAAAATAATTTTAGTAATAAAAGGGTGATTTAAATTTGGATCCAAAGTACATTTTTCTAGGGTTGCATTCTGTTTATTTTTCTATTTATTACTTATTTTTATTATAATCAAATTTAAAAAAATAATTTTAATTATAACTATAATCAACACGTTCAAAAAAATTGGATCATATCACATGGCAAATGGAACGCGGCCCAAACCCCCTTTTCTATAGTTTGCGCCGGGGAGAAGAAAACCCCGAAATGGAGTGGGCTATAGCCGCCGCGAACAAGGCGGCGAGCAGCAACACGGTGGTGAACGCATTCCTATTGAGCATTTTCGGAGCGCTGAGTGCAAGGTCGTTCAAGCAGCAGAGGAATATCGAGGCGTTGGAGGCGGAGAAGAACTCTCTGGTTGAATCCAACAAGAGCATGAGGAAGACGATGTGGGACTGGAAGCAACAGCTCTACGCGGAGGCCGAGTCTCTTTCCTCTCATGCGCTCGTTCCCCTCTCCAAGCTCAAAGCCATCTATGGCGATCAGGAATCCGCCTCTCCCCCTCTCGCCCGTTCTTCCAGTAAGTTATCAATTGCATAAATTTTTTTTTATTCATGATTCCTGTTAATTCCAATTAATACTCTGTATATAATCCAGGATTGAAAATTTTCTCTTTTAGGGGATACCTACACTTTCACTTCCTGTTAAAACACCCTGTATTGTTTCTGTAGATCTGCTAGATCTTTAGTCAAACAAAGAGTACAAGCTTAGTTAATTTTTTTACAGGAAAAACCAGGTGATAATGATAAAAAAATGTTTTTTTTGGGGGCGAAGTTGATGAAATGAATGAAATTGATGAGTAATTTGCTTTTATTTTCACACATTGTTTTTATTTATACAATAGATTTTAGCTATACCTTTGAAAGATTGCAAAGCTCACCAACTTCAACCACATTTTCATCTTCGTTTCTGCCAAATTCACTCATATCGGACGGGTTCTCATTTTCTCATCTTGAGACGTTCAGAATTATTTGTCTAATGTCAATGTTATGTAAACAAAATGTTAGGAATTATAAAACATATATCTTGAAAAGTATATTAGCGTTGTTATCATCAATGAAGGATCCCTAGTATATTTGCCACTTCCGAATTTATGTACTTTAAAGTCCCACCATCCCAAGATAAACTTTTTGTTTTTTTAGATCATCCCAAAATAAACATTTAATTTCTTTCAAGGAAAGTATCAAATTGTTCACTTTGTTTTTCTCTTATGCGCATAAATCTAAACTTTAAATTTGGTGAAAAAACAAATGAGATGTTTAATATGGGACAAAGGTGGTATATGCAAGTGAATGTGTGAATAAATAATAAGGTCTAATTTGGTGAAAAAACAAATGAGAAGTTTATGCTTAGCCCACTTTTATTACACTATGTTTTACAAGAACTTATAACTTATTCTACTTATTTTTTTTTTTTATAAACTTTGTATCGATGTTACTATAATTTGGGCGTGCTTGGACTAAACGTGCCTTATCCTTTTTTAGAAAAACGAAAAAATATACTCCGTACTCTCTTTGAAATTAGTCAAAGCAATTTTCGGTGTTCATCAGAAACATTTGCTCTATGTTTTGAACATAGGGGTCAGACATTGTACATCTTACGCCCTTACCCTACAATGGGTGGGAGCCTTTGAGGCACTGGGGTAATGTTGTGGTGAAATATGGCCGAAATGCTTAGCAACTATTGCACCAACAGTAATTTCATATTTGCTCCAAATATTATGCCCTTTGCAAGTATATGAAATTAGATTCAGTTTAATATTCTTTGGGGAATGATTTTATCAGTTTTGCTATATCTGGACCCCACAAAAGGGAAAATTTCTAATGAAAATGGTTTCCTTGGTGTTACTTGGGAAGTATTTACCCAGAGTAGTTGAGAAAAGCTCTACCGGAGTATTAAAGTAACAGTTGCAACAAATATGTAATATTTATTTATCAGGTTTGAACCTTTTTTTCCTCCCGTTTCATTTCGTCCACTTAAAATTATTCTGTGTTACTGCAGATGGAAATTCCGAGGGAAGTGGAAAAACACCAGGTTCAAGATTTATAATCTGAAGGTATTTTTGTTAGTGAAGAGCTATGCAGAGTATCATGGATCTGTCACGTATCAATGTTTTTATGGAGCAATCAAATGTTTTCTCCTCTTTTATTATTGTAGTGCAGACTGCAGAGTGCCTCCTCCCTCATGAAGATGTAAAGAACAGAATTATTACAGACTTAAAACCCAGAAGAAAAAAACACATGACCATCATCGTTGTGATATCATGTTTTTTTTAATGTTCAGCTGGTTAAACTCGGAGGAGGTCGAGGTCTCACTCCTTAACATCAATAACATGTGCATTTGGTGGCGAGTCTTTTTGGCCTTTTGGTCACACCTAAAGGGAAGTATTGTATGTATATGTATTGTGTGTGGGGTGGAATTCAAATTGCGTAACGATGAAGGAAATGAGAATGGATATAGTTGCATTTTGGAAAACCCCCAAATTCACTCCATTTGTGTTTCCCTCTTTTGTTGAATTTCTATATTCATCTTTAATGCACTGTGGGAGTTTGAGTACTAATGTACTATGATGAATTGATGATATGTCTTACATTACATTCTGACCTTAAAGATATGATGCTAAGTAAGGTTGGAGTACATTTATGTTTTTTTTGACTAATTAAGTGGTTACCCACAAAACCAAAAAAACTCTATTATGTCAAAATTCATTCATAAAGTGCATGGTGCTTGTCCAACTCTTTACAAAAGAGAGAAATTAAATGAGTAGTAGTGGTTTCAGTTCATTGCTGAAGATTGAAGTCATCTTTGTCATCATATATATGTGTGTGCGAATTGACCCGTGGTGTGTTTGCCATTTTCAGACACTTGGTGAATTTCTTTTTACGGTAGATATCAAATTTTGAAGTTAAATATATGATAAAAACAAAGAGAAATTAAAAAGTGAATTACGAATTAGAAAAAAACTCTTCAATGAGACTAAATAATACAGTAAATATTTTTAAAAATTACTCCGTATCAAACTAGATTATTAAGAATTATTTTACTTAGGGTATAAAGACATATATATGGTGAATCTCTCAAATAAAAAGGTACATGCTTGAACTTAGAGGAGCAATAACTTTGTAGCCCAAGTTACACACAATGCATATAAGAGACACACCGATAACTATTATTGTACGGACAATAATTATTTATGCGCGTCTATGATATGCATGTGTGTCACTTTGGATATGAATGAGTATCCCTAACTTTTTAAATATTTTTACCAAGACACTAGTGTCAACCATTACAAAGTACAAACCCCTTATTAAGGTGTCATTAGAACTGTTTGGAACGAGCGTTTTCAATTATGTTAGTGGTTTGGATAAAATTTTAATGGTACAGATTAATTTTAAAATGCTATTACTAAATGTTATCGTGAGATAGTTTCTTCAAAACTATAACGCTGACGTACTCATGTCAAACGGGACCTTTTATTTATTTTTGGTTATCTATAGAAACTTAGAAGGAAAAGGCTAGGGTGCCACTACATGGGTGCACCCATGCTTCACACAAACAAACATAGACGATAATCGTCTGTGCGACACAGACAATTATCGTCTGTGTTTGTCTATGTGAAGCATGAGTACACCCATAATAGCACTCATGTGGTGGCACCGGTCCAACTTAGAAAGGGAAAAAGAATGGAAGAGAAAACCTTTCCAAGTACGGAACTAAAATGAATCGGTTGGGATCTGCTGCTAACACGCCTCGCCCATGCGGTGACGCCTACCCGCCAAAACCCAAAGCCTCATCATCATCATCGTCTCTCTCTCTCTCTGTCTGTCTCTCTCTGTACAATGCGGCCAATGCCTATTTTCTCTTCTCCTTAATTACTCATTTCCCTTTCTCTCTCTCTCTCTCCTTAAGCTAAACTCTTTCTCGCTCTAATTTCTGTTCATTTCTTCGGAGGGGAAAGCCATGGCCACAGATCAAGATGGGTTGAAGACGTGCGTTGTCTTGGGCGGGCGAGGTTTCGTCGGCCGATCTCTGGTCGGGAGGCTCCTGAGACTCGGCAATTGGATCGTCCGAGTTGCCGATTCAGCTGCATCCCTCGAACTCGACCCCTCCCAATTTGAAGCCGATTCGCTTCTCTCTCAAGCCCTCGCCTCCGGCCGCGCCTCCTATCACCGCGTAGATGTTCGCGATAAGTCGCAGATCATCAAAGGTACCTTCACGAGGCACAATGCACGTCACTTGCGTTTTATTTTATGAATAAATTTATGAGAATATCCTTATTACTTTTGATCTTCTCATTAGTTTAGTGTTATGTGTACCTAGTCACATTAAGAAAGAATGCATTGACTGAATTTGTTGAAAATTATCTCTATTTGATTGCAATTGGGTTTTAATCCATCTGATGTTGTTTTTGGTTTTTCTTAGGTTGTTAGGGAAAATGGATATGCCTTAGAAATTTTATCTACTTAATACGCGATCAGTATCTAACAGTTAGAAAAATGCATATTTGGCTGCTTTCCTGCTAGTTTAATCTGTAATAGGACACGTTTCTCTGGATGATTAATTCATGGCATTCATTCCTCATATGCAGCTCTTGAAGGTGTGTCAGTTGTATTCTATATGGATCTCGTGGATTCACACCCGCCTGATTTGTTTTTTTGCTATGCAATCATCGTTGTAGGTAATTTCTGTTTGTTTAGTGAGATCATATAAACACTTTTGATCATATGTAAATGAGTATTCACAATGACTATTTAATTCATAGTAGAATCGTTTGTCATTCAGGTGTGAAAAATGTCATTCAGGCATGTCAGGAGTGCAAAGTCAAACAACTAATCTACAACAGCTGTGCCGATGTTGTTTTCGAAAAGGGACGTGATATTGAGAATGGTGATGAGTCCTTGCCTTATGCTGGTAAAGTACGTTTCTGATTCTTCATCATCCATATTTAAGATTTGACTTGCACAGTGCACCTGTTGAATTCCACATCCGTTTTCACGTTTATTCATTCATTGCATGTTGCAGTTTGAGAATTTGTTGACTGATCTTAAGGCTCAAGCTGAAGCTCTTGTCTTAGTTGCTAACAATGTTGATGGCCTTCTTACATGTTCACTTCGTCCTAGCTATGTTTTTGGACCGGGGGATAAACAGCTTCTGCCAATGGTTGTGAATATGGCAAAGTCATGTTTTTCCAAGGTTTGAAAGCCACTCATCTACTTCATTCATTTATGCAGACTGAGGGAAATATTCTTCTTAGAATGTAACATCAACTAGTCACGCGTTCAAAATTCAATTCACGCTTTATGTCTATAATTAACTACTACATCACATCACATCTATAGATGTGTCCATGTAGCTGGTTATACTTTTAACACGGCATGCTCTGGATATTTCCATTTCAAAAACTGTGCGTACTTTGCCTTTTGGATTAAGATCATCTCACACATGCTCAATACCATTAGTTTTATTTGGTGACTTACACTTCTTTGCCTTTTGTTCCTGATCTTTTAGAATAAGTAATAGAAATTCTCATTTCAGTTTATTATAGGGATTGGTAATAATGCACTGGACTTCACTTATGTGGATAATTTAGCCCATGCCCATATCTGTGCTGAAGAAGCTTTAAATTCTAAGACGACTCATGTAGCTGGCAAGGTACTGACTTGAAACTATTCATTGTTGTGATTTTTTCTTCTCATGAAACATAGCCATCTGTCATGATAGATGTTGCAACTTATGTTTTGCAGGCCTTCTTCATCAATAACCTCGAGCCCATGAAGTTCTCATCATTTGCATATCTGATCTTGGAAGGATTGGGGTATCAAAGGTAAGGCAGCCTAGATTGCCTTCAAGTTCATTCGTTTTCTCATAAATTAGAGACAGGTTCATTAAGATACTCTTAGACCAAAGATGGGCGATACAATGAAACATATGATCACATGAGTCCATTCTTTACCTTATTGAAATGCTAATAGTGGCGGTCAATTAATTTTTGGAAATGAAAATACATTTTAGTTTTAGCCTTTTGGGTAATAATGCGGACTTATAGGGATTTCAATCAAATTTAAAGGAATAGTATCTTTGGCCATTTATTCAGTTGATTCTGTGTACATCTGTGTCTGGCTTTCTCGTAATGGAGTTGAAAAACAGTCTATCTTTTGATTCTTTTCTATTATTTGGATAAGTAAAGCATCTTGGTGCAAGATGAACTATATCAGACATGAATTTATGGTACTGGGTTTCCTGAAAGGGCATTTTCTTTATGTCTATTTGCAGGCCAATATTTAAGCCTCCATCTAGTATGGTTGAATACATTCTTTCTATTGTAAAGAGCTTCCATTTAAAGATAAACAGTGGGAAGCTTGATGACCATGCATCACTTTACAGTTTTTATGACTTAGCCTTGTGCAGCAGGACTTTTAACTGCTCTGCATCACAGAAGTGTTTAAGATATTCTCGAATTGTTCCAATGGAAGTAAGTTGCTTTATCAGACCTCATGTTTTGTTATTTATATTTATTCAATTCTTTGATATGGTTCTTTTTTTAAGCTGATATGGTACCGCGCTACTGCATTAAGATTAGTTTCTTGCAAACATGACATTGCCATTCTTTTTGTTACTCCTAGTTAAGGGGACTGGATTAACCCTCTGTTATACAAATTACCTGGATTAATGTAGAGCGACTGGTTGTCTCAAAAAGGATGAAATAGTATGTTTTGGTTTTGACTTTTGAATCTACTTAAAATGTTTTGATTGGTTCACTTGTTGTTTAATTGACAATTTAAAGCATGTTGTGTGTTTGAGAGTTGTTAATACTAAGCCAGATGTGTTTTTTTCTGAGTTGGAGAGTTGTGGTTTCAGTGCTATAGTGTTCATCTTGTAGTTGGATTTGTGGATTTTAATCTGTCCTTGAAACTTGCATTTGTTTATCAATCCATGACCCAACAACTTATTGTGAGATCAATTAATAATACAGGAAGCAATTACACTGACTGTGAAGTCTTCATCTCATTTAGCCAAGGACTCCTTTTATGCGAAGTATACAGACTATGACGAGGAAACAAAAGTGCATAAACTGTTAAATGGTGGAAAAGGTTGGTACTTAGTATGTGAACCTTATATCTATTTGAACACAGTACCTGTAAGTTGTGACTTTGTACATATGCCTTCTTACAATCCGGGTGAAATCCTGAAAAAGAAGGTTAAGTGGCATCATGTTATTGAACCGAAGTGGAAGAGAGTAGTATTGTACCCTTTAAGGAATTGATGATGCCTGTAATTAGTGTTTTAGCCTATATATGTTAATTAGGTTACTCTTCCATCTAAATATATGTTGCCATAACAATTGGTTTGGAGGCCACACACTCTCCTATATATAGTGAGTGTTTCTCTGTGCTTATAAGCAGTTCAAAACTGCTTATAAGTTGTTTCTAACTTATAAGTCAGCAGATGACCTGTTTCTCGGTGCTTATAAACTGACTAATAAGGTGCTTATAAGCGAGAAAAATTAAGTAGGTCTTACCAACTTACTTTTAAGCCGGTTTTTTCGTTTCTCCATTTTGACCAGATTACTTACAAAATCATCTCTCACCTATTATGAATATCCCCAAATGACTTATACATCATTTAAGTTATTTTATCTACGGGAAAGAATTTTTAACTTATAAGCAGCTTATAAGTTAAAAGCTGCTTATAAGCAATAAGTCAATAAGCACCAACACAGAGAAACACCCACATAATATATATTTTTATTAGGCCACTTGAAGAAGCTCTAAATTCAGTGTATAATATTAATGACTGTAAAACTAATTTCTTCAGGCACTAACCGCACTATATGAATAGAACTTCCAACTTCACGAACACCAAAAGTACTTGAAACTACATATGTGAATGAAAATTATATGCAGCAAAAGGTGTCACATGTCCCCATTTTCAATCTGCCGGCTGGTTACTTCCATATTTTGGCATACATTGAGCATGGGTGGGGTTATGTTATGAATTTCGGGGGGGGGGGGGTGTCCTTTTTTCCCTTTCCTTTATTTGGGGAATCTAGCTCATTTATTATAAATTGTTGATTCATAATCTGATTTTTTTTCTAATTCCTTAGCTCTAGTCTCCTTTTCTTAGGTATCATGTGTAGAGGACAAATGTGAAATTTCAAAAGCCAGTCTAATTGGGTTGACCTTATCCAACTTCTCATTAACTAACACATGTTCTCTTAGACCTTTTTTACTTGCCTACCTTAGTTCAACAGTCCAACATGTCCATTTCCATCTCCAATTGCTTACTTCAGCATGAATTTTTTAAAAGGTTATATTTCGCTAATCATTTCTCATTTTACCTGAGAATAACTGTAATATTATTTCCCAGTTGAGAATAGGTGAATAACTGTATATTGCATTGCTACAGTTGCAGAAGTTTTGCTCTGGAGAGATGAGAAGATAACATTTGCTCATTTTCTGTTATGCTTTTTGATCTATTGCTGGTTTTTCCTGTCCGGAAGAACCTTTGTTTCATCTCTTGCCATTCTTTTGCTGCTAATTACTGCTATGCTTTGTGGGTACAGCATGTTGCCACCAGTTGTGTAAGTATAACCATGAAATGTTCCTTTGTGCATTTGATCTATTATTTGTGCAATACTTGTTTGTAATTTTGGATGAATCCCACTTTGAGACCAAAGGGAGACATGAGTGCCACCAAACTCATGTTACCCCCTTTTAAAGTATAATAATGTTAATACTTACGTAGCGACCCAATTTAAATCCTTCACCCTAAACCCTTTTAATTTCTCCATCATTGCAATTTTCCCGACTTTGAAAAGGGAATTAAAAAAGTATTATAGCGGTTGCATCGTGCATACATGAGTATATAATATGACCAATACTCCTTAGTTATCGCCAGGTCCACTGTGTCCAGAATATATTTTTATCAAAATTTTAAAAATTTAGAATGTATATGAGTCCGTGGGAAGCACTGGATTAAAAGTACTTCAGAAAAAACAGTGGAGTGGAATTAGTGTGACTATCACCATCCAAAGGAAAGAGGACAAAAATTGGTGAAATTTCTATGTGATGGAGCCAACCTTGATTCTCTAAATTAATGAATGCATGATTGCTTCTTCTTCTTTTTTTCTCATCACACATTAAATGGGTCATACTCCATTCTTTCTAATTGATGGTCAAACCTGACATTAATCTTCCATATTCTCTATGTATGACTTCTGTAATATGGCCACCCATGTTTTCTAGTACAATTTATATGCTTAGAGCCGTGCAGATAGTTTATTTCTGCCTCTCACTATTCACAAGCATCTGTATTGAATTGGGTCAAAACATTCCAAATCTAAACTTAATTTCTTTTTGGGGTGAATTCTAGACTTAGTTTCTTCAGAATAGTAGTACTTGCATGGAATTTCGCTCGATGTTTGCATCCTATACATTTCTTTTGTTGAAGCACTTTTGTGTTGTGCTTTTTGATTTATGGAATTGTAACATCTTTGAAACAGATATGGGATCACTGTTCCAAGAATATCTTGGTCTTGTTTTGAGATATCTGAAGTTGATATGAGAAACTGTGTCTCAGCGGCAGGCAATTTGTGGAACAGAATGAATCATGGAACAAGGTCGCTGGCTCAAGGAGAAGACTGGTTTACCTTTCTGAAGGTATGCTTCTTTTGTAAGAAACGTAGTACTTGCATTAAACTGATTCAGGTAAATATCAAGGCAGTGTTTTGTATACGGGAAAATCATTTTCAAGTAAAATGAATCTCCATGGAAAAGGTTATATCTATGAAAAATTTTACATACTCTTTTATAAAATTCCAGAAAATAATATTTGTCCAATCCATATTCTCAAGTGTATAATCGTTCAAATGTTTACATTGCCTATGAAATAGTACCGCAAAACACATCTTTCTAAGGAGGCAAAAAACTGATCTCTTAAGAGTCAAGTCTCGGCACATGAAACAATTTTCATTCCACCAAAAGGACCCCCCCCACCACCACCAACATATACAGGAAAATGCCTATTTAGGAAAAACATGCCCATGCTATTTCAGGTCAGATAGTTTCTGAAGTGCCTCTTCTTTGTTTTCTTTTTTGTTCAAAGAAGGCAAAGTTTTCAATTCTCATAGGTTCTCCTAGACCCTTTCTTTGCCTCATAGTTTGTTAGTCCTAGTCCTTGGCCCTTGGATATCACAGCTGATGATATGCGGACAATGTAAATTAATAATGTCTAAATGAATGAATTCCACTTTTGGCTCTTCGATTATAGCGATTAGTGATATTTTTACTTTTGGTGCTCAACTTTAATTAGTTTCATTTTTAGTCATTGACTCTCAAAATTGTTTCGTTTTCAGCCCAAAATATCCAACTCTTCACGTTTTGGGCCCTTCATAATTTTTCAAAATGCTACTTGGGGTGTTTAGGACTAAACGTGGAATGTTTTTAAAGTCTAAAGGCACAATGGAATAAAACAAAGTTGTGGGAAAAAGGTTGAAAAGCCTTTATGGTGGAAGGGCTGAAAGTTGACTTTACTCCATCGAATCTAATACTCTGTAGGAATTATTTTGCAAGTGGCGAAAGAATATTAAATCTACATTCTACGAGTACTAACAGAAACAGATTGTGGAGCTGGTTCTCTGGTGAGCATTATATATATGTTTGTGATGCAGGTGGTGGGGTGCCTGTACTGTTTGAAGCTGAATGTCTCACTTTCACTCACGGTTTTCCTTGCCATCGGTATGGCAAGCAGCTCAGTTCAAAAACTTACTATCTGGGTTGATGTTTTTATGAAGACTCCCCATTCCATTGTTATTATGATTCATTTAACTAATGGAATTGCTATTTATAAATGCTGCAGCCCTGGTCGCGGTGTTCTCGGTTTTCTTCATTTACGAGCAATATGAGAACGAAATCGATGGAATGTGCAACATTTTGCTCAGCTGTGGAATGGGCGGCCTTTCGTTTTTGTCTAGGAACTTGCCGATGCCATTGGGCTCAATGCTAACCAACTTTGAAGCATCGCTCAAGAGAAAGGATTCGTTCTGAAGAAGAATAGTCGTCAGCAAAATCTCCGTTCTATCCTCTGCAACAAGAGGGGGATCCCTTATGTTCTCTGACTGTATGTCTGTATATAGAATGATTTTTCTAGCTTTGGTAGCTCTTGTACAAGCATACATTACTAAGAGAGAAACTAGGGAGAAACAGAGAGGGAGTGGCTGTTTGATTGCTCCTCTTACTAGAGTCCTCTGTTTCCATAGCCAGACAAAAAGGACAAATGCACAAATCATAAACTTCAACATATCTCTAAAATGGTAAAGAGCATTGATTAAAATTTTGATTGAAGTTTTACAGTAATGATCTTTGGGAGTAACTTATATGTCATGTTAAAAGTATTGTTGTTAAGGAAGCATAGATGTCAGAACTTCTGGATTTATTTTCATAGAAGTGGTTTTGGCGTTCTTTATCTTCACATAATGCATAATTCTGTCTAAATATTAATTGCAGTTAACCAAACCAGGTATATGTACCCATGGAAGTGAAATATGATTGATTTGATATGAATTTTAAAATTTGGAAAAAAATGATAAGTATTCTGGAACTAAAGTGTTTAGAGAGATTTAAAATCTGATATGGTTGTTAGTGACATACGAGGTGGTCGATGATACCGAGTGGCTTATAGTGGTGAGATTCTGACTCTTCACCTTATAAATGCGATTTGATTTGAATTTTTTATTATATTGTCTAATTTTATCTGGATTCTTTAATAGCTAAAGAATCTCTATTTTTTGGCTTTAGGATATAATGGAATAAAGCAAATTGGCTCTTTAATCTGTTTGTGCTTCTTGCAATTGTTAAGCACCAGTTAGGGTAGTAAGACAACATTCGACGCTCATCATGGTCATCTGGAAACAGCCGCTCTATGTTTTAAACATATGAGTGAGACTGCATCCATATGACCCCGTTACCCCGCAATTGGCGGGAACCTTTGAGGCACTGGGGTAATGTTGCTATTGTTGAATGTTTTTTACGTAGTAATTCAATACGGTATGGTCTAAATATATTTGATCGTGTTTAGTTGGAACATCCATAATATAATATTTGACTTGATATAATCTTTTACAATACTTTGAAAAATATACTGAGTAACATATGATTGTGTACGACATCAAGAGTTCATATCCCAATGGCTAAGACTTGAAACGAATATCTTCAAATAGATTGATGAGTTGATGTCTTAAAATCATGTTATAGAAATAATAGAAATACACCATATAAAAAAGACATGAGAGATGAAATAAAATCAATAATTTAATTCATTTGAACTTAATTTAAAATATACTCTGTACATAATGTCTTTATTGGCCTTACTCATGCAAACCAAAAGACTAAAATAAGGAGTATAGTTTAATTTGGAGTGTAATTGTTTTTTAGTCACAATATATGTAGTGTATAAGCAATTTCTCTTGAGCTCTTTTATGTTTTTCCACGACTCATACATCTTCCATAAGTATCTTTTAAGTTTTTTTATTTTTGGACTCACATTCTCTTCTTATAGTTTTTAAATGGACACCAAATATGATATCTGGTACTCGTATAATATTACTATCTCTTATATGCATGTAAATATAATATCTATATACTGTATAAGTAAGAAATAGATTAAATGATATTGCTTTACGTTGACACCTTATCATAATGGGACACTTATGATACTCCATTCAAAAAACTAATAGTTCTTATCTTCTGAGTCCTGACTTTAAAAACATGTTTTCCTACCCCCACTGTCCCCTCATGTTCATTGTTTGGCAACAATATTTACTAATGTCAAATATCAAACTCGAGGAAAGAGACATGGAGCCGAAGTTGGGTATAGAAGGTAGTGGACAAAGATCGATAAGAACAATAATCATTAAGTTTTTCTACAAAATATTATAGATGTCTGAAATGAACAATATCAACTTGTATTAATCTAATTTAGTGTCAATAAAATTAGATCGCAACAAACATTAATATAGTTTTTTTAATAGATAGCAAAAATGCTAAGAATCTATTACAATAGATATTATGAACGATAATTATCTTGTAAGTTGATGTATGAACTCTATGGTGTTTAGAGATGATTGTCATTTTTACGTTTACAAATTCACAAAGAGCAATGCTAGGTTCACAAACAGATACTCACAAACTTCACAAACTTATTATTTATAGTTTAAAATTTCATTTTAAAATCACTTTAGACTATTTAATTTTTTTCATTGAAATTCACAAATAATAAATTTGTGATGTTTGTGACCATTGTGTTTGTGAACCAAACATTTCCCATTCAGAAAAGACTATAATTCTTAATGAGTTTCTAGCATAAACTATCTACTATAAATTTCGCTTAGGCGTTAAGCGAGGAGTAGGAAAATAATCCCCCGTCCGTTTTCTCCCTCGTCTAATAAGAATTTAGGGGAACCCCCGACCAAGTCGCGCGGCCGCTCTCTTCCCTTTATATTCCACAAGGAAGACGCCGCCCCATAGACAATTCGATTTCTCATTCTCAGATTGTTCGTCTTCTCTCTCGCTCTCTCATCATTCGTGCGAAAATCTACGGGAGTCGTAATTTATGCAGTCTAGGGTTTCTGCAATGGCGCCGCCGGCGCCTACCACTTTCCCGGCGATGGCTGAGTTCGATACGCCCACGAACAATCTGTGGGTTGGCAATCTGACCCCCGACGTGACGGAAGCCGAGCTCGCGTCTCTTTTCGGAAGGTTCGGTCAGGTGGACTGCATAACCTCTTATCCCGCCCGCAGCTACGCTTTCGTCCACTTCAATGCCCTCCAAGGTGCCTTGGCCGCAAAGGAGGCGCTTCAGGGAACTTTTCTCCGCGGGAGTCCTCTTAGGATTGATTTCGCTAAACCGGTTTGTATTCTTCGTGTCCAGCAGCTGTTTGATTCCGGTCATTTGTTTTTATATTTGATGATGGATTTATTATCCTGGATCTGTAACCATACTTTATCTTATTTTAATGCCCTATTGATTATTATCATCATTGATCTCTCACTCTCTTTTCCAACTATTTGGGTGAATAAGAAAATAACACACATTTTTTTTGATAGGTTATACATATACGTTCTATGCAAGATAAAACCTAGTTGAAATTTTTGAAAATGCTTTGTGTTTTAGAAACTGAATCACTTTACCATTAATTGGGAGAAGATGGTTGATTTTCACACCCCTGCAAAGCTTTTCGAGCAAACATTTATCCAAAAACTGAAACTTGCGGTAATGATGAACACAAAAGCGCGTGTAATATTTCTGTATGCCGCATATAAAAATTAGAATGCTAGTTTAGTAGCTGACGTATCCAATATTGATGAACTCGGTTGACGGTTGATAGAAATTTTTGAGTCGGATTTTGGAGTAATGTCATGGCTTCAGAAACCAAGAAACCACACTTGGTCCATTTGTAACACGTACAATACTCATAGTTCTCTTTTGGAAAAGAAAACCAATCCTTTAGCAATTTCGGCTTCCCACTTTCATTTTGAGAACGAAGCATAGAACTTTGGTGACACTTGTGATGTAATGATTCTGTGTCAGACATTCCACCATAGCTTTTTAAACACCATTATTCTATTAAACAATGTTTGAAGTTGCACAATGCAAGTGTGCCTCAAGGCGCACCTCACCAATATATCATATGTGACATGTTTGCGGCTCAAGGTTACTGTGAAAATGGGAAATATTGAGGCTTTCACCTCAAGTTTTAGGAACTGAGGCATAAATGAGGCTTACATGTTTATACCTTGATTACTTTCACACTCAACATATTTTGATAGAAAAGGCTGAAAAGCTATTAATCTTGATCAAAGTCCCAATTTATCAGCTTAATCCCTACACAAGGCGCATACAAGGCTTGTGGCTTAATCACCACACTTTTGTTATGTTTTTTTGATGGTCTCTTCTCTGCCAACATGACTGTTGTTGGAAGACTTACCTCTGTTCCTTCACTTTCTTGGCAGAAAGAGGGACCTTTCTTCTTCTTTCTCTTCAGTTTTGTCTTCTTCTTGGAGATTATCGACTTCTCACTTTCTTTCTTTTTTTCTTATAATTTTGACCAGGTATTTTCTTCTCTGTTTTGGCTTAGTCCAGGTTTCTTTTTTTTTTTCTTTCAATTTTGATCAAGGAACTGTTGTCCATGTGTTTTTTTCAATTTCAACAAGGTGCTTTTTTGTTGGCCATTGGGAGGTGTACCTATTTATTTCTCTTCAGTTTAGCCAATTTATCACATTTTAGATTTTCCAATTTATTTTATTTTCAAATTTCATGTTTTTTCTGCTGTTTTTATGTTTCATTTAATGAAAGCACTTCTGTTGGTCCTATGACCTTGTTGTTTTACATGATTATATGAACAAGAAGTATGATGACAATTTTAGTATTTATTATAGTATATTTATATTAATTTAATTTTTTTAAAAAAATTATGAATTTGGTGCCCAAACTATGTCACCTACGCAATATACGAATTCGAACTAAAAATACAGATTTTGTTGTGTGGCGATATATTTTCTTGGTTCTTGAACTTCTATGTTGCACAATGTATTGGATAAGTTAAAATTTAGGCATGTATAGATTAAGAAAGGGCTCAAATTCAAGTAACAGTGAATCTCCTAAGCTCATAGCGGAGACAAGCCAAAGTCCCTCATAAATTTTGCTTCCGGAGGACCAAGTAAAGTTCCATTTAGTCAGTTATTATATTCAGTTTTGGATTTACATGCATGAGAGTAAGGGATTTGAAGTTCTAAAGGTTCAACCGGTGCAAATTTTATTAGAGAAATGAGTCTTATTGTTCTCTATGAGTGTATTGTTATTACAACAAATGCCAACTAAAAGACTAATATGGCTACAACCTTAAGTATCCAAGCTCAACTTGGAGCTTTGAGGATTCACAACTACAATACTGGGAGCATCTTATGATTGTGAATTGAAATTGAATAGTATGTATATTATTATCATTAGAAAAAAATGTAAACCGAAATTGCACTTTGTATACAGACATGAGATAAAGAGGTTTCTTCCGTGTAAACTCTTCCTCCTTCACTATCTAAATCAATTTGAATACAAAGTGATCCATTGTCATCCGTGATTTTGGGAATCATTTACAATTTTATGTTTTATTTCATCAATGCCTAAACAACTGTTTTTTCACCATGGAGTCCATCCACACAATAACTTATCCTATTTCTTGAGTTTGTGTGACTGGGGACTTTAGTTAATTGTGTAGTCTAAGAAGAAGAAGAAAACTACTTTAAGAGAATTCAGCTGTGGGATGAGGTGGTGAGGTAGGCTGGGGAGGACGTGAGATGAGCAGTTCAGATTGGTCATGTAGGCATTGAACCTTTATGAGGACATTATGTCTGATAGGAATTTTGGAAACACTGTTAGGGTTGTAGAGTCCATACATGTGTCAGAGTTGGACCCTCTTAGCTCTCAGTTGCTTGGTGTTGTGGATAGAGGGTGTCGTGTTTTCTTCATTTATCACTCTACATTTTTTTGTTGGGCTCTCGGATGCTAAGGTTTGAGTGCTTCTTGCAATCATGAGAGTACTAGCTTTGATTGGTTTAATTGGGAAAATCTCGTCTGTTGCTGTATGAACTTGTTAAACTAATGCTGTTTTTTGAATAAGCAATGTTTGTGAAACTTCATGAAACATTTTGGTCAATGAGAATATGGATGTTTTATTGGAGGGCATGTTTATGTTGAAAACTTGTTTGATTTATATAAGTATCTGATTTAATTATCAAGTCTCTTTGACGTAGCGGTATTTTTCTTGGATGTATTATTATTTCCCAATTCACACTTTCCTTATTGGGATGTCCCAACAAAAGGTTCACATTTCTACCATTTCCTTCTAAGTTAATGAGTATGTGGGTCACGGCATTTATTTCTCCTCCGAATAAATTTTAACCATCCACTTTCATTTTTCAACACTTTCTGTGAACTCTGTGAAGTCCAACTATGAACATCTTGACGAGATGGAGGAGTATTTTTCTTGGCTGGATTATTATTTCTTGTGCAAGTGTTATACATTTTGGTGTGGTGGATAACATCCAATTTTTTTTGTTACACATGGTTGGTGGGGAATGGATTCTGTCATCCTTAAATTCTCTTTCAAATTTTTGTACTCTTTGACAGGCTAAGCCATGCAAAAGTTTGCGGGTTGCTGGGATAGGCCAGTCTGTATCTAAAGAAGAATTGGAGGACCATTTTAAGAAATTTGGTAACGTTTTGGAACTCAAATTTGTAAGGGACCGAAACACAGCTTATATCGATTATGCCCGTTTGGAAGATGCAACTGAAGCACTTAAAAATATGCACGGAAAGAAGATAAATGGAGACCAAATCCGCGTGGATTATGTTAGGTCGCACCCTGCGAGAAGGGTTAGTTTTACTTTATGAGATAAAGGCTCGATAACACACTTAAATATTCTCCTGGAATCTTTTTGGATTATGTGTTTTAAGTGATTTGCTAACATTGATTAGCTGGGTAATGGATTTTTATGTAGTAAACTTGGAGCATCTTCTCAATTTTGCAGGAGCAAGGTCTTGACTTTCCAAAGGAGGGACAATTTCCTTACCGGGGTGTTTTGCAACCAGATTTTATGAAACCTTACTCTGAGCCATTTCATGCTGGATCCAAAAGGCAACACGTAATGCTTCCTCCATATTCCAATTGGTTTAGGCTTTCATTTCTATGATAAAGTTACATGTGTTTACATCAGTGTCTCTGTGCTTGTTTCTTTTCCTTAATTTGTGTTCAACACTTCCACTCCTTGGGATTTGGAGATGCCCCACTGGTGGAAAATTTCAAGGTGAAAACTTACTCAATGTCTAGGGCTTAATTCTTGCCTGAAATTAGCTAAGAATAGAGAATGGGAAGTATTTAGCTTCAACAAGAATAAAAATTTGTTGAGACTGGGATGATAATTCCGAAGGCTACAAGTTGGATCCCATTCCTCCATGAACCGCAAAGGAATATTCCGTTAAGAAAATAACATACAGAGTAACTACTATTACTCATGTGCATCTGTGCTTCTACATCTAGAGGGGAAAAACCATTGCTATCCAAAGCAAATGTAGGTTATGTAGGAAAATAATATAATTCTCTTATGATCTTGATTTTTTCTGCATGAAGTTTCCTTAAGCTTCATGGTCATGGCTCTTGTGCAGGAACTAAGGGATCCCGAAACCCACTGGTAAGGTGAAAGATCTTACAGAGAAAGACTTAAGACCATTGAGTGCATTGAATGTCCTGGCGGAAATATATAAAGTAGGAGCTGTTGTAGGGAACTAGTTTGGGATCATTCAAGATTTTGAATGACCTAAATAAGTGCAGTAGTATACTTTGAGTTTGTGCACATTCTTAAATCAATTAAGGAATATAGCAAAAGGTATATTGGTCTGTAATGGAAAGTTGCAGTTTGAATCTGTTACGTTTTTCCTGTGGATCAAATATGGAGTTAACTCTATTTAGGAATATTGCAAGTGTGTGTATATATATTTATATATAGTATATACATATATCAGCAAAGCATCAAATTGTAAAAGCCGATGTTAACACACTATTTTGGTTTTTTACACAGTTTGAACATCAACTCCCACCCCCAGGGGGTAGAAGAGAGAGCCAGCCAAGTAAAATTTTGTGCATAAGCTATCCTCCCTCTGCTCATATCGAAGAAGATATGCTTCACAATGCTATGATTTTGTTTGGTGAGATTGAGAGAATAAAAACATTTGATGATCGAAATCATGCATTGGTTGAGTTTAGGAGTGTGGAAGAAGCTATTCTTGCCAAGGAAGGGTTGCAGGGAAAGCTTTTTAATGATCCCAGAATATCCATAGAGTACTCAAGCAGTGGGTTTCCTCCTGCAAGAGAATATTTTGCACCTCATTCACAAATGGGGATATTGGATCATAATCTCCCACTCCTACCTAATAATAACATTCCTGGGCATTTGCCTCATGGTATTCATGGTCTGGATATGCTGATGAGGCCTTTGGGTCCTCAAAACAGGTTAGATCATGGTATTCCCATTTCAGAATATCCTGACCTGGCATTAATGCATAAATTACAAGAGTCAAATCCTCATAATCTGATGGGAGGATCTGAGTGGGGACGATCATCACCTGTAACTGGAGTTTATCCTTCAGGTGTTCTGAAACCACTGAGCAGACCGACAACATCTAGTGGTTGGGATGTGTACGATGCTGGTGCTTCCCAAGTGAACAGAGAATCTAAAAGATCAAGGGTTGAAAGTGCATTGCCTCATTATGATGTTTCGCTTCCTCCTCAAAGATTGGATGGTCAATCACTGGCACTTGATGAACGATTTGGCGTGGGTTCAGCTGCTAACATTAGGGGAAGGCATCATCCGCCAAGAGTTACTCCTGGTCATGATTATGTATGGCGTGGCCTTATTGCCAAGGGCGGGACACCGGTTTGTCGTGCTCGCTGTGTTCCTATTGGTGATGAGATCGAGTCTGAGATGTATGCATTTGCTTGTTCCTATGATATCTATGAATGTTTGTGCTGAATTTTTACCTGATTTATGTATGCTTATAATTAATTTCCTGAGCTTTTGTTTTTCAAGATTAATCTGATTATGGATGAATGAATTAACTCTGCAGTCCGGATGTAGTCAATTGCTCAGCCCGAACTGGGTTGGACTTGTTAACTAAACACTATGCTGATGCTGTGGGGTTCAAAATTGTCTTCTTCTTGCCAGACAGTGAAGAAGATTTTAGCTCATATACAGAGTTTCTGAGGTATCTAGGAACCAAGAACCGTGCTGGGGTCGCGAAATTTAATGATGGGACCACTCTCTTTTTGGTACCCCCATCTGATTTTCTCAGGAATGTCCTGAGTATTTCTGGCCCCGAACGTCTATACGGAGTAGTTTTGGAATTTCCACAAACGACTGCCACTTCTGTGCCGCCTCCACCACTGCAAATGGACACACTTCAGCCACCTTATGCAGATGCACAGATGACTTCCTATCACCAGACTCCTTACAACTCAATTCGTCCGGAGGATTTGCGGAATGAGTACAAGGATGTTGTCTTACGAGAAGAGGTGAAACTCCCTCCAAAAACAGTTGGCCCTCCAACTAGCATCTCTCTTCCCTTGCATTCAGCTCCTCCAAGTATTAACACTTCTACACCTCCACGCAGCGGTGTTACTTTAACTCCTGAACTTATTGCAACTCTTACTTCTTTATTACCACTTGGTAATCCATCTAGCTCTCAGAACACAACATCTTCTACATTAGGCCCAGTATTAGATAATACATCTGTTGCACCACCAGATCAGAGACATGGTCCACAGGGTTGGGGATATGAGCAACAAACTCACTTTAACACACAAGCCCAACCTTTACCACCAGCCCAAGTTCATGCTCCGGTCTTCAATGTGCCACCCAGTCATGAGGTTGCTGGGTTTAGTCAAAATCTTGATCAGCACCCTTTCGACTTTCAAATGCAAACCACTGCATCATTTAATGGACTTACCTCCGCACACATGGCGGGCCCGTTGCATGTTGGGCAGCACAATCCACATGGAGTATCTCAGAGTTCACTTCTTCAAAGCCCTGGACTTCTCAGATCAGATGCATCTGTAATGTATGGTTCCACAGTGCTTCAGCAGCCTAATCAACAGCTTCAAACTCATTCTGTGCCTAATCAGGGAGTGAATCCCCAGCCCCATGCTATTGCCACCCTACCGGTATCTGTTGCTGCGGGAGGGATTATGACACCCCCTCAACAGCTTCATTCTGGGGTGGGACTAGAAAGTGTAGAGTCTGAAGAAAGTAAGAATGAGCGGTACAGAACAACATTAATGTTTGCCGCCAATCTGCTCTCTCAGATTCAGCAGCAACAGCCAAATAGCCAGAGTGGTCAAGGGTCCTGAAGTCGTTCAGATGGTGGTGCCGTTCATTCAGGTAACTCCTGCTCCTCTTGCTTGTGTATGAGTATTTAAATGTCCTTGTGAATGAGCTTGTGTGCACAATCTGCCTATTTATTCTATTGTCTTTGGGGTGGGGGTGAACTATAAATTAATTTTTATGACATTCTTTTTAGCGATTCCAATCAAAGAAATGAGCTAAGCAAAACTTTGTAGTCATACCAAGTCAAAATATGCTGGTCTCTACATATGGCCATCTCACTGAAGAGTGAAGAATGGAGTTCTTTTTAAAAATTGTGACATGGAGTCTTCTCTGCCCTAGATAAGTTTTGTCCAAGATTTAAAAAAAAAGTTGCACCCCCATTAGATTATACTACGTATATTTTGTAGTCATTCAATAATCGTCTTATATTTTCCTCAAAAAATTAATCATCTGATATGATCTTAGATAGAGTCTTTACTGTGGCTTGCTGGGTTGGTTCTATCTTTCATATCTTTTTAAATAAAATTTGTGTGCTTTCAATGTGCTGATATGCATTTTGTAGGAGTTATGCCATGTAAAGTATCAGGGTTCCATAATATCTTATTTCTCATTAGATGAACATGCAAATCTTCTTTCCTTGTGTGTGTGTGTGTGTGTGTGGGTGTGTGAGGCATAATATTAGGAGGCATGAGGTTGGTACCTTCCCTAAGGAGATAATTATAGTGCATCATCCCCTAGCTAGGCATCTTTGGACCTTGTCATGATGTATTAGACTTGTATGTAAAATTGACACTATGCACTTCTACAAATCTCTTCACCTGACTTGTGCAATAACTTGTGTTTGTGCAACTTTCTTTAAAAGGTTAGTAATGGTGACTGTGAACCAATCGTTCGTAATATAATACTCTCTGTAATCTTAATAATAACAAGACAAAATCAGAGACTAAAAATCACATCTTTGTTTGCAAGTCTGCGTTCTCCTAAGTCAACCCAAGCGAATTCACAGCTGCTGTGAAATTTTTAAAAAAGGCTTCGTGCGAACTGGAACTGCTTCTGCGTTTTTTGGTAGAAAGTTGGTGTAAAAAAAACTAAATCACTAGAAACGAAACTGATCAGCTGGTTGAAGAGAATAATGTTTCCATTGGTTAGGCCGTATTATGGTTTGTCTTTCGATGTGCTACAACAGGGGAAAAACAGGTGCATCAGTTTGGTCTTTGTTTTATAGATTTGTTAACCAAAAAATTAATATTTTCAAAATTATTGAATCATTATTTTTTCCCACATTCCTTATGAATCAGTAAGATTTTTAGTAAAGCGGCTAACCAGTAAATTAAGTCTTAACCAGGTTGGCCTTTAGATTAAAAGGATAAATGCAGTTTGGGGGCACACTTCGTAAGCATGTTTTCTTCACAATAGATTATAAATGTATAAACGCTCCATTCGGAAGAGGATGAGGTATAAACAAACCACACATTAGACATACTGTTATTTACATTTAGCTATAATTGTAAGGGTTTACCTCGATGCTCCTTGTGAAAGGCCTTGTTTGGGAGTTGACGTTTTCAGTTGGTGGTTTGGATTCTTTAAAGCACAAATTAGTTTTGAAAATATTAAAACTAAAAAAATACTAAATACGGAGCAATGCTTTTTAAAATGCTGGTAAACCTGTTCAAAATATGTGGACCTTTTAGTGTAGGTAACGTTACCAAACCGGTGCATCACACATGTTCTTTTTGCGTACAAACTGTGATCGTCTGACCCTCAATGCAGTACTTCAACGAGTCATCTTCAACTACGAGATGGAGTGCAAGTGAGAGTTTGATATTTGTTTGGTAAAGTTTTTGAATCGGTGTGGTGTGGTGTGGTTGGTCTATTCAGAAATATCATTCGAAAAACAACACAAGTGTTACCATATAGTAAACCGAATATTCCTTATTTCCCAATTAAGTTTTCACTTCTTCCATTCGAGCTTAATTAGGTGAACATTGAAAGTGTAACAAGAAAACCCCCAAAACACCTAAAAAGATATCACCTTCTCCAGAAATTTAACTTGTCATTCACATCAAAGTGAACTTATAGTTGATTGAGGAACATTTGTGAAGTTTACACAAAAATTATTCGGTTTGAGGCTTAAAGTGGGTCAAGTTGAAGTGTGAACTTTATTTATAGACGGCGAAGATGTGACAATTATACATTCAGACGCAAATATTAATAATAAAAAAACAATCTCATGGGGAGAAGTTGGATTCATAATCGCATTCGTGCAGTTAAAGATTGGGTACTAGAGAGTGAAATTTGTCTGATACTAAAAGGTACTCTTGCTACGCATTGTTGGCTTTCACTGTCGTTATCAGGAGTCGAGCTTAGGCATTTAGTCTTTCTGCACCCCTTGTTGACAAATTAAGGAAATGCCTACCGAATATCTCATTAGATAGTAGATACGATAGATGTGTACTTCCTCCGTTTTAAAATGTTCTTGCTGTTTCTGTTTACGAGATTTGATCGACTTCATTTTCAATTTAATTTATTTGATTATAGGTGTAAAATGGAAAAAATAAAATTTATATATTTAAAAGCTACATCAAAAGTTTTCCAAAACAAGAGGGGCAAGACTATTTTTCTTCAAATAACAAACGAAAATAAGTAAAGAAAGCTATTAAAGTTTGACCGCGTGAATAGAAACAGGGAAGAACGTTTTAGGATGGAGTAGCTTTTTTAATACTCTCTCTGTCCTGAAAAAGGACTCATTATTCTTTTTCGGGAAAGTGTGAGTGGCTCACAAATTTTCTCTCTTCTCCGCATCATTCTCAACCACATATTTTTGCTTTCTTTAAACTTTGTGTTCAATTAAACTGTGAACCTTATTTTGGGACGGAAGGGGTAATTTTTTTAAAAAAAATTATTACGACTGAGACAAAGAGGGCTTGATTAAAAAAAAGAATGAGCCTCATTCTAGAGCGCGCCTTCAATCTAGCTCCGCATAATAAATAAAACTATAATCTTAATTGACAAGTAAGATTTGTTTTAGAGCGTGTAAGGATTCTTTTTTTTTCCTCCGTGTAAACGTTCTACAATGTTGAGTTGGGTAAACCCCGGCCAGTAGACATGATTTAATAGTGTCCCACAGTACGGATAATTGGGTGGATAGGCTGTAAAAGGTTTGACTTTTGTGTGCCTAGGAGAGTAAAACATCGTATAAAAGTCTGAAGAAAATTGGATGCATTTTGAGGTTCTAACTTCAAAGTCGCCGCCCGACAGACAGCTTCTACTCCCTTTTTTCTGCAACACTTTTTTTTTGAATGTTGACTTTTGGGTCCTAGAATTAACCGCAAGACGCCAAGTTGACATTAAAATTTTGAGTAAAATTTCATAATTAGTCCTTTATAACATATGTTTTTTTATAACTCATGTAGTCTTTTTATGTGTAACATTCCACAAATAGTCTTGTTTTGATTTTCTGCCATGTTAGTGTTAATTTAAAGGTTAAAAGTATAATTTAACATCAATCTTATGTCCAATAATGTATTCTGACATTGGTTAGACGGATAACACAAAAAAAATGAATATGAATTTGGGCTAGGATTTCGAAAAGATAACATCTGTAGCCTATGGTTATAGTAAAAACCAACTGTAATTCACCAACGACGTGTCAAGAGCGACCTTTGGAATTGGATATGACAAGAAATATATATATTATCATTGTGAAATTACATTTTTAACTCTCAAATTAATATCAATATGATAGAAGATTAAAAATGACTATTTATGAAAAGATACTCATAAAAGGACTACCGGGATAATTTTGGCTAACAGAGGACTAAATAGAAAAATGTCTCTGTTATAATGGATTAATTATATAATTTATTCTTAAAATTTTCAACCGACTTGAATTATTTGTCTTGTTTTAATTTTTTTTGTATTCAAAATTGATAATCTTTGATAAAAGGAAATTCAAGAAACATGATATCAGATATTCATACAAAATACTTTAACTAGATTTATCATTTAAAATATTTTTTTACCTAGTTGATATCATTGATATTAAATATTTTTTATTTAATTACAGGTAAAAAGATGATCATATTTGATTACAAAAAGTCAAATTTAGATAAATAATCTAAGACGGAGGGAGTAATATTGTAGCTTCTTCTCAACTCTTGTCAAAAAAAAACAATGCTCCTTGATCTCGTAATTTTCTTCTCGGAATAACGCGAGTTTTCTTTTTACCCATTGAACTTAATATACTAGATAAATGTACTTTTTGTGCTTGAAAGACTTTTTGTTACGCGTTATGATATTTGGTTGAAATTATTTTAAATATGCTTTGTGTGAATTTCAGTGTAAAATTAAAATAATACTCCGTACAATTCATATATTTAAAAGTTATTCTCTTCATCCTAGTGTATTTGTATAGTTTGAGTCGCTTGACTTTGTGTCAATTTGAACGAACTTAAGTCATTAGTTACTATCAATCTATTTTGCATATTGATCATATCAAATAAAAATTTTAAAGTTTTTATGCACCCGGAAAAATATAATGAAGTCATTTTCATAGTAATATACTAGTACATGCATTGTAGTCTTTATTTAATTGAAATCTTCATTTGTTAAGTTTGAAACGAAACAATTCGACCTTGATGAATACACACGGAGAAAGGTGGTCTATCAAGAGTTTTATAAAACAAAACCTGACAAGATTATACTTCGTATTATTTTATCAAGTAATAAAAATAATCAAATAAATAAATAAAATTTGACCATGTGAATAATATATAAAAGAAATGCTAGTCCTGCAGCCATACTCGGATGACAAATTAATGAAATTCATTTTTGGGCATTGTAGGGTTTGTTGGTTGGTTCATCAGTTTCACATTTGCCAAACGCGACGCTAAACGAAGAAGAAGATGAAGAAGAAGGGTTTCTAGATCTGCTCCATGCACCTCCATTATTCAGAGAGTTTTTTTTCTTTTTTTTTTCCTGTCGTGTTTTCCTTGATAGTGAAAGGCTTTACTTTATCCCTCTCTCTTGGATGGTTTGAATATGAAATATATGATGAATCGCGTGCATGGCAAAATTTGGTTGTGAAGCTTCTTACCTTTTAGTATATATTTTTTTTAAAAAAAAAAAACAAGGGGATTTAATATGGGATCATTGCTTTTATATATAAAAAGAAACTCCAAACTCTAAGAACTTGATATGCGGCATTGCTTGCGTGGTATTTTTATAGAAATTGAAAAGAATTAATTTTTTTAAAATTATTCCATTCCATCGTTGCTCCTCTTCCTATAAGAAAATTAAAAAATAAATTAATATTTACTTTCCCTTTTTAGTTCTTTCATCTGATTCTATAATTCAAAAAAAAAACTCCTTCCGTCCCCTAGGTATTTGTGTTCCTTTGTTTTTTTTTGGTCAAAATTGATAAACTTTGATTACAAATTAAATAAAAATGTTACTAGATATTGACACAAAAATAATTTTATTAGATTTGTTTTATAACATATTTTTAGAATAATCTTTTATGTAATTAATAATACACAATTTATATTTTATTTATTTATAGGTCAAATATTGAAAATGATTTATTGCA